TTTTTTTTTTTTTTTTTTTTCTGGTGATAACTCATTCTATAGCCCAGGCTGACCTGGAACTTTCTATATAATTTTATATATATAGGACTGGCCGCAAACTTGAGACAGTCCTGCTACAGCCTGCTAAATACATGAGGGCATGAGTCATTCTCCATGCCTTGCTTGAATTTTGTTTGCTTGCCTGCCTGCCTGCCTGTCTGTCTATCTCTCTCTCTCTATCGGTTACTTGTATTTATGTTCCCTTTGCTAGCTTATAATTTTTACTCTACTGTGATATGGAGCAAGTGCTTGATGCCCAGTGCCAATACTATGGTACTGGTGTTTGTAAGAAGAAAGAGCTTTAATAGCACACGCCTTTAATCCTAGCAGATACAGGCATATCTCTGTGAGTTTGAGGCCAGCCTGGTCTCCAGAATGAGTTCCATGACAGCCAGGATTACACAGAGAAACACTGTCTCGAAAAGTCAAAAAACAAAACAACAACAACATCAAAAGAGCTTTAGTGGCTTTAATGTAGGTTATTTGACAAGGAGACAAAAAGAATGGTAAAATCTCTCCCTGATTGGCCATTAGCAAAGAAATTTAAGTGTCCTGGGAGAAAAGGAAACTGATTGGTTGAAGCCAAAAATTTTGGTGAAATAATTGGTGTCAGATATGTCAGACCAGAATACTTTGTAATTGAGGAGTTTCTGGATCCATCCTGCAACTGTGGTTGGCATCTATTTCGAATCTGTGCATTTGTTATGTGCACACACTGTAGGCAGTTGTAAAGTATGCAAGTAGGTGTTGAGGCCAGAGGTAGATGGGGGTGCTTTCCTCTGTTGCTCTTCACCTGTTGTTTGAGACTGGGTCTCTTGTTGAGCCTGGGGCTTGGTGTTTAGGCTGCTCTTTCTGGGTACCGAGCCCCTGCTCTGCCTGCCTCCCGTTTTCCGTTGCTGGGGTTACAAGTGGGTGCTGCTCTGCCTCGCTCTTTATGTGGGTGCTGGGGTGCCAAATTCAGGAGCTCATGCTTGCTTAGCAAGGACTTTACCTACTGGGCCATTTCCCTGACTTGTCTACTTTTCTTTGGGCATTTGAAACTATAATTATATTGTCATAATTTTGATAGCTTCATGTTTTAAATATCCACTCAGTTGCTCATCCTCTGACTTACTCTAAAGTAAAAGAGGGTTAGATTTCTACAGACAGGGACTTTACCACTGTAGGTAGGGTTACTCCTTTTTTTCTCATTGAGAAAGTTGGAAGCGGTGGATTGCTTGTGTTTAAAGTTTCATACACATGTAGATATATTTGTGTATATGGATTTCTTTTCTTCTTACTAGTGCTGGGAATCTAACCAGGGTCCTATACATGCTGAGCATGTGTTCTGAACTATACCTCAAATTTGCAGTAATAGTTGGGATTTTAATGTAAGTTATGAGTTCCTTTTTTTTAAAAAAAAAAATTTATCATGTATACAGTGTTCTGCCTGCATGTACACCTGCATGCCAGAAGAGGGCACCAGATCGAATTATAGATGGTTGTGAGCCATCATGTGGTTGCTGGGAACTTAGGACCTCTGGAAGAGCAGCTAGCACTCCTAACCTCTAAGCCATCTCTCCAGCACAAGTTATGAATTCCTATGTTAGTAAGTCTTTTTTTTTTTTTTCCTCGTTACCAACTTTTATATACAAAGGAGAGAGTTTTAAAATGTCTGTGCAGAGTTTATAGGAGTTTCTGGGGCTGTGTATATTGGTGTGCATTAACAGTCCCAGCCGTGGGTGGTGGAGATAGACAGATTAGGAGTTCAGAGGCAGCCGTAGCTACTGTAGGGATTTTGAAGCCAGTCTGGGCCATGAGACCTTCCTAAAAAATCCTTGCTACAAGGCCCCTTCTAAAACAAAACAAAAACCTGAAATATGGCTGGCTATTCATGTATCACTGCCTCTTTAGGAAATATCACAAAATATTTATCTAATACCTTATTCTAATTAAAATGAACTCATTGTAGTTATAAAATCTGAAAGTAAACAAAGTTTTCAGAAGGTTTAAAAGAACTGTAGAGGAGATGGAGAAATGGCTCAGGGGTTAAGAGTGCTTTGCTGCTCTTTGAGAAGGCCCCAGTTTGATTCCCAGCACATACATGTGGTCGTGATCACCGGTTACACCAATGGCAGAGGTGTGGCACCCCACCCCACAGCCCCATTTGGGCTACACATACACGTAGATAAGAAAGAATGCATCTTAAAACAGCGATCTGTAGAGTGTTAGAGTGTTATGTACTAAGGTTAGTAAGAGGTCAGGGAGGCTCATCCTTAACGCTGAGTGATAAGCTAAAGGAATTGGTTAGGATGGGACAGTGACCATTCTGGGGCCAAAACACAGGGCAGTGTTTTAGGTAGCCTTTGGCTAGTTAAGAATTGTAAACATTTTTCCTGTTTTATCATTGACAAGTGAATGTGTGTGCTAATTTTTTTCCTAATAGGGTTTTTCCTGATTAATTAATTTTTTTAAAAAGATCCGTCCATCCATCCATCCATCCATCCATCTATCCATCATCCATCCATCCAGTATACAATGTTCTGCCTGCATGTGTGCCTGTGTTCCAGAAGAGGGCACCAGATCTTATAGATGGTAGTGAGCTACCATGTGGTTGCTGGGAATTGAACTCAGACCCCCTAGAAGAGCAGCCAGTGCTCTTAGCTTCTGAGCCATCCCTTCATCACCCTGCTGGTCATTTTTTATGTTTATTAATGACCAATGGCACCTAAATTTTGTTAGGTGATATGGTTGTGGCTTAACTCTGTAGTGGAAAGTTTTTCCTAAAGCTTTCTTCTAATTCTCTCTCTCTCTCTCTCTCTCTCTCTCTCTCTGTGTGTGTGTGTGTGTGTGTATGTGTGTGTGTGAGAGAGAGAGAGACAATTTGAACATAACAATCTAACAGATAACCACAAAATGATAATTTTCTCATTACTCATTTTTTATTTTTTTGTTTAAAGGTTGCTTTCTTAGAGAACCAGAACATCTTTCATGTATTTATTGATTAGGGAGTACTTCTTTTGCAAATTGTTGATATCCTATCCTGATTTGTCTGTTGTTTTCTTTTTTCTTATCCATCTTTTTTTGTTTTTTTGAGACAGGTTTCTCTGTGCAGCCTTGTCTGTCCTGGACTTGCCTTGTAGACCACACTGGCCTTGACCGCACAGAGATTCACCTGCATCTGCCTCCTGAATGCTGGGATTAAGTGTGTGTGTCATCGTGTACAGCCTCATTTTCTTATCCATTTTAAAGAGTTTATAATCATATAATTATCTGTTTTGCATATTATATTTTCCAGTTAGTGTAGAAGCTAAATTTTACCAGATAGCCTTTCTATACTCTAAAATAACAAGAATATTATTTTCTTTCAGACTCTGTATATAATTTTTAATGTGAATGGAATTTATTTTGTGTGTTGTTTAAGGTAGGGATAGAATTTATTTCCTATGTTTAATGTATCATTTTTGACTGAAAGCAGTTTGTTAAAATTCTTTTCATGGGGCTAGAGAGATGGCTTAGCAGTTAAGAGTTCACACTGTTTGTGCAAAGAACCCCAGTTTGTTTCTTATCACCCACATTATATGCCCATAAACTACCGTAACTCAAGCTGCAGGGGATCTGATGCCTGTGGCTTTTGTGAGCATCTATACTCTTCTGTGCACACATACACACACATACGCGCACAATTAAATACGTCTTTTTGCCATATTGAGTTGTTATACTATGTTTATTATACATTTAAACTCATAAATTTACATACCAGTATCCTGGACGCAGTTGTAGTCTGTTGATGTGATTAAATTACCATATACAATGTTTTACAGATTAACTTATTTTCATTAATCATTTCTTTCAAGTGTTGCTATCATTTTTCATACCTAGGCTCTTTTATTTGATAGAATTAGTTTTGATTGATTCCATTGATTAATGACATTAAATTTAAGGAATTTAAGTTTCTGTGTTTTATGAAATGTTTTTTTTTTACTTAAGAGTGCTTTTTTGCTGTAATCAGATTGGTAATGTTTTTTTTTATCTAAAATAGTTTTTGTATTTTTCTATTTATTCTTAGGCATTCTTATACATTTAATTAGTAATTTTGGGTTTGGTAGCAAAATAATTTATTTGTAACTATTTGAATATTTGTCATTGTTGCTCAAGTGTATCAGTCTTCCACCCTCCCCCCTGTAGAAAGGGTTTCTCTGTTCCACAGAGCCCTGGCTGTCCTGGACTCTGTTTGTAGACCATGCTGGCCTTGAACTCACAGAGATCCTCCTCCTCTGCCTCCTGCATGCACCGCCATACCTGGCCTGTCTGTTATTTTTAAAAAATAATGTGTAGTGAAGATTAGAAAGAATTAGCATACCTTTAATCCCAGCACTTGGGAAGGCAGAGGCAGGTGGATCTCTGTGAGTTTGAGGCCAGCTTGGTCTAGAGAGTGATTCCAGGACAATCAGGACTACACACAGAAAGTCTCGAAAAACCAAAAACCAGCCAATCAACCAACCAAACAAAAGAGTAGCAAGAATATATACACTTATATATACATTTAAAAAATAAGCTTCATTTACTTATTAATTTATTGAGATATGAGTGGAAAATATAAATGCTTCAGATAACTATCAAGTTGTACTTTCAGGTTTATAAAGAACAAAGATAATAAAATAGCACTTGAAAGTAATCAATATATTGCGGTCAAACATATAAGTCCTATGGTGATTTTGTGTGTGTGTGCGCGTGTGTGTTGTTTGGGACATGGCTACTATGGTCTTTTCTTAAGAAAAATCTCTTTGGGAGACTTTAAAAGCCTACTAAAGCTATTTTCTTTTAACTTGGTGCTTTAAAAATCATAAAGAAGGATTATACTGGCTTTAGTATTTACTTGCACTTTATTAATATTGTAAGTTAGAGGTAATACATTCTTGCCTGGTTAGACATTGTTATTTTTCCTTCTCTTTTTCTTATTTTTTTTCTCCCTATTACAGGTTTTGCAGAAGACATCAGATTAAATCAAGTTCAAATATTCCCTGTGTCCCCAAAGACTTACTGATGATGTCTGAATTTGTTCTTCCAAGATTTATATTTTGTCTTATTCAATACTTAAGAGAAGGCTATAATGAACCAGGTATGTTTTAGTATGTTCACTGTAATAATCTTTAAATTATCAGATGTGTACGTGTGTGTGTGTGTGTTTGTGCATGTGAATGCAGATGCCCAGGGAGTCCAGAGGTGTCAGATCTCCTGGAGCTTGAGTTAAAGGCAGCTGTGAGCCTTTAGATGTGGGTGCTGAGAGCTGAAATCAGGTCCTGTGTAAGAGCAGCACTTGCTTCTCACCACTAACTATCTGTCCAGCCCAGCGCACCACTTGTTATTGTTTAACATATAATATTAAAGATAGCATACAGTGTTATGGGCTTCACAGTGGCAGTTTTACACACTACATTTTTTTTAAATTTTTTATTTATTTAACTTTATTTTATGTGCATTAGTGTGAAGGTGTCAGATCCCTTGGAACTACAGACAGTTGTGAACTGCCATGTGGGTGCCAGGAATTGAACCTGTGTCCTTTATGAAGAGCAGGCAGTGTTCTTAACCACTGAGCCATCTCTCCAGCCCCTACACACTACATCTTATTCTGCACTACCCTCTGCTGTGTCTTAACATTTTAAAGTAATGATTGTGAAGTACAGAAAAATAAATGATAATAAATGATAATTTTGTAGACACCTTGTAGGAGGCATGTTTGGTGATTTTTGCCTCTAACTAGTGATTTCCAATTATATTATGATTGGGAAAATGCCTCTAACTAGTGATTTCCAATTATATTATGATTGGGAAAATGTTTGAATTTAAGAGGTATTTAGATGATGAATTACTATTGTTTTCCTTCTCCAGACTCATAGCAGCTTATGATAGACTTAGATTGTTTGCTTCCATATTATTGTATCACTGCTAAGTGTGAATTTAGTACTAAAAAGAGGAAAACTACTCAACTCACAGTTATTCTTTTAAGATTTTGTCATAATCATGAGAAGTGTGCTTTTAGGCACACGTTAGAGTTCTTTGTCAGATATCATGAATTAGAGAAGTTAGTGGTATGGAATCCTTTGTTAATTTTTTATAATGTCTTCTGCCTCTCTAAAGACAGTGACATTTTTATCTGGTGGTACCACCTTTTATATTATTTTTATATGTTTTAAATGACTTAACTTATAAATCTTATATTCCGTTTGAAACTAGGATATGCATATATTTTTATCTTCTATCCCTGCTTTTAAATTGTGAGGGAATATTAGATCATTTTAGGTTATTTAGAATATAAATATTAAGTCTTTACAACGTTAAATTATTAGAATTTAGAATATTTTTTTGTGAGAACCTTAAAATTGACAATTAGTTTAACTAAAGGATATTTCACATAAAAGTGTGTTATTAATTTCTCCCTCCATGTATTCAGTGTTAAAAGGTGGGTGGCGTGAGTACAGTGCATAGTTGGGATAGTTACATGCTGCTGGTGTGTAGTGTAATCAGTTATGTAGAGACGGGTCTCACCATGTAGTCCTGGCTGACCTACAACTCTGTGTAAACCAGGCGGGGCTTCAACTCACAGAGTTTACCTCTCTCCAGAGTGCTTGGACTAACGACATGTGCCACCAGCACTTGGCTTTTGTTTTTTATTTTTAATCTGAAAATATGAAGAAACTAATGGAAACATTTTTGTCTAAGAATATCATGAATGTACACCCATTAAATTTTCTTCTGTTGCTTATCATTAATTTCTTAGTTGGGCAAACAATCAAAGAAAATAAAACCTAAACAAACAAAACCCCCAAACTCTTTGTGACCCCAGCATAAATTCAAGGTCATGGAAGCTTAGAATCTTGTGGATTTACAGTTGCTTTGGGTTCTTTTCCTCATTTTCTTTGTAATACCTGGCCTGTTACTGGATGTGGTCAGAGCCCCTGGAGACTAAAGCAAATGTCAGTTCTTTGATCTGCTGTGTTCCTGTGTGTGTCACTGGGGAGAAGGTACACATGTAGAGTTCACTGCACTTGCTTCCAACTGAGAAAGTGAGGTTTAGGGTTAGGTTTAGGTTTAGGGTAAACGTTCTCTCCCTTAGCTCCCTTATAGAAGTCTTTTTTTTAGCTAGCTGCTACTAAGCTTTAAAGTTTATTTACATCTTTCTTTTAGACCTTAGGGCAGGGTTTTCAACCGTGGGGAGGGGAGTGGACCGAACCTACCACAGGTGTCAGGTCACACAGCAGCCATCCTGCACAGCATGTATTTACATTAAGATTCATGACAGTAGCAAGATTATAGTTATAAAGTAGCAATGAAGTAATTTTATGGTTTGGGTCAGCCCAGCATAAGGGACTGTATTAAAGGGTTACAGAGTTAGGAAGGTTGGAAACAACTGTGGTAGGGTCTTTAAAACATCTTTCTAAAGGGTGAAAAAACCAGGCCTTTTCATTTTTAATACTTTTCTCATTCATTGGCCAAGGAGTTAAAAAAAAATTGTTTCTCCTTGAGTGTGCACCCCCTACAGCACTCTTGTTGAGAGGTCTAAGGACCCCCGTGTGTTTCTGAGCCATGAAGCCAAGTTGAGACAGGCATTAACCATTGCTATCTTGCCAGCCCCACAAGGTAAATTCTTACAATGTCACTGCTTAATATTGACTGAGATTTTTGACTATAAAATATCATTGAAAGCACTAAAGTTTTATAATTTTAATTTTATTTTATGTGTATTGGTGTGAAGATGTCAGAGCCTCTGGAACTGGAGTTACAGACAGTTGTGTGCTGCCATGTAGGTTTTTGGAATTAAACCCTGGTTCTTTGGAAGATCAAAGAGTTATCCTGAACAAAATATTTTAAGTTATCCTTAATTGTATAATTATGTGTTTATATGTGTGTATATACATATGTGTATATAAATATATTTTCTTTCCTTTTAGCAGCTGATGTACCATCAGAGAAAGATCTCAACAAAGTCCTTCAGCTTTTGGAGCCTCAAATTTCCTTTTTAGAAGACCTGACGAAAATGGGAGGAGCCATGAGGACTGTTCTTACTCAGGTGTTAACAAACCAGCAGAACTACAAAGATCTGACTTCTGGTAAGTGAAACCTTAGAAGACATTTACAGCTTACATTTTCATATTCATTGTAATAAAAAATAACATCTTTAAGAACTTAAAGAAAAGTTAATATTTTTTATAGAATTCTAAAGCCTGAAATTATTAAGAAAAGTTCTTATACATGAGAAAACTGAATTTCAGGAAAGCACTTGACCTTTAAAGGCTGCTCGGTTAGTCTGTTGGAGCATCTATGTCTTAATTCTTGGTCCAATGGCGCGTTCAAGAGTCCAGCTCCACTTGGGTCGCTTGTCACCGGCACATGCTTTTACCTGCTGAGCCACCACACAGGCTGGAACCCCTGAGTCACTGCTGGGTGGGGCGGAGGCGGGACCTGCTCTCACTTCACTAAGGAGGCAGTATTTACTTAAAGTAAACCTAGTGGTTAGCACAGCTGTGAGCTAGAGGGGCAAGGAACTGGGTGGAAAAGGGTTAGGTTCCAGGTAGGTACGCTAGTGTTAGTCATAAGCAATAGACGACAGGATAGACCAGGCAGTTGTTGGAAAGCAGAGCAGAGCACGAAGTCCACACTGTAGACTCTGAGGAAAAGGAGAGTGTGAGATGGTGTGTGATGCTCAGGGAGGCTTCCTGACTGCACCGCTGGCCCTGAGGCAGATCGTGGTGGTCCTGCTATTAAACGCACAAATCATCACATTGGTCTGTTGATGCTGGGAACTGAAGTTTTGGGGAGAATACCAAGGAGTGCTGGGTGTTGGTGGTTTTGGAGAACAGTGACTATCTACTGTGAGACTACCTAAGATTTGTTGATTATTTTCTTTTATATGTGTTTTGCCTGCATGTGTATATGTGTGTATGTGCACCACATGTGTGTCTAGTGCTTGTGGAGGTCACAGAGGACAACAGAACCTCTGGAAAGTAGAGTTACACACAGATGGCTGTGAGTTGACTTGTGGGTGGTGGGAATTGAACCTGGGTCTTCTGCAAGTACAAGTGCTCTTAACCACTTGAGCCGTCTCTCACCACAGCCTAGGGTTTGTTAGGGACTGTCTATTATGGGTTAAAAATAGAATAAGTGCCTGTAGGCAAACAGTGTTAGGGACTGTTGAGGTTTTAGTTTTTCGTGAGAGTGTGCCCTGCACCTCACCTGGGCAGCACAGTAGAGTTGACCCTGGTGGTGGGGGTACAGATGAGGCAGCCCCAAGGGCAGGAGTGAGGGAGAGCTGGCTCCACCACTCATCTGCTGCGCAGTGGTGTGGGTGAGGGACAGATGCCTTCCTCACCAGCCACTCACCACCTGTGTTGGGCAGGAGAGCTGGCCCTGTGGTCATGATAGTGGGAGAGCCTGCTCTGCCTCTTGCTGGCTGTGGCATTGAGTCAGCTAACAGGCTCAGTGCTGGAGAGCTTGCCCTGGTGGTTTGGGTGTAGGAGAGCTGGCAGAGATCCATGGCTTTGAGTTGGCTCACCCCAACATGTACCCAGCTGTGAACTGCCAAAGCCCGTGAAGGAGCTGGTCCTACCGATCCAGCTCTGCAGGACCTCCATGACACAGGGCAACAACAGGATGTCCGAGAGGAGACCTGGTGAGGACCCAGGATTGATGGTGGAGCAGAAGCCAGAGACCTCAAACCAGACCAGTGACTCACTGCAACGAACATCTGCAAGTGAAGATGTGCAGACAAATGGGTCTACTGTGGGACACACTGAGACACACAGCTTCCATGATGAGATGTCTTATTTACTTATTTTTATTTTTTATTGGGTGGGGGCTTGCAAGGGTGGAGGGCAGATACAAAGGGACAAGGAAATGAATGGCACTGGGGTGCATGATATAAACTCACAGCAAGACTCAATAAAAAGTTAAAAAAGGGAGGGGAGGAATTCTGCCTGAACATCTGTTCTTGTCTTAAAGTAGGAATAATTCTTCATTTGAAACTGTTACCTGTTGAGAAAGAAAACTGGCAATTTTTTACTTTTATTATTTTTTTCCTGTTTTACCATGTTGGCCTTGACTTTTGAGAGCTCTGCCTGCCTCTGCTTCCTGAGTGCTTGCAGTAAAGGTATGCACCACCTCGCCTAGCTAAGTCGATTGATTGTTCTTTTTTTGGTGGGGGTGGGAGGGAGTTGTTGAGGCAGGATTTCTTGGTGTAGCCCTTGCTGTCCCAGAACTCTCTTTGTAGGCCAGGCTGGCCTTGAGCTCAGAGATCCTCTTGCCTCTCCTCCCTGAATACTGGGATTAAAGGTGTACACCTCTGCTGCCCAGCAAGCAGATTGTTCTTAACCACCATAGCAATGTATCTTAGGAGGGAGTTGTTATAATTGTTTTACTTTATTCCTACAATTAAAAAAAATCTTACTTCTGGAAACTAAACAACATGAACAACAATTCTTTAACTTTTGTCGATGGACATTAATTAGATTTTGATTCCCAAGTGAAAGTTGAGCTAGGTTTTGTGGACATGGCTACAGTCCCAGCTACTTAAGAGGCTGAGGTCAGGGGATTACAAGTTTAAGGTATCTGTATGGGGTTCAGAATGAATTCAGGGCCAGTTTGGACAATTCTGATTCCTTGTCTCAAAATTAAAAGCAAAACAGGGATGAGATATAACTCAGTGGAGAGTTGCTTGCATGAGGTTCAGTTCCCAGTAGAGCAAAGTTTGAGATTTCCAGTCTAGCGTTACTTCTCTGCTTTCATACTCAATGGCTAGCCAAACCATCTTTCTAAGCTTGTTTTCTTACTTAAAATGTGACAGTAATGCATTCATTTTCAGGGTTATCATGAGGAATTGATAAGTGACATTTAGTTTGATGAAGAGCATCTGTGATTGGGCCTCTATTATTTGGGAAACTTTCTGTGATACTAGAAACTAAACTTGAACCCAGAGGCTGCCATATGTTAGGGAAGCCACTGAGTGAGAGCTCCAGCAGTTCTATAGGATCTGCATGGTTTTATTTTTTTAAGATTTATTTATTTTTATTTTATGTGTATGAGTGTTGGTCTGCATGTATGTGAGTAAGACCAGTTGTGTGCCTGGTGCCTGCAAAGGCCAAAAGGTAGTGTCAGATTCCCCAGAAGTAGAATTAGAGTCGCCAACTGGGTGCTGGGAACCAAGCTTCATGCTCTGCAAGAGCAGTAAGTGTTCTTAACTGCTGAACCTTCTCTAACCTCACTCTTTATTCCTAATAAACAGTGTGGTTATTGTCAGTACCAGACTTTACTTGAAATATGGACATGTCCCATTTATTTAATCTATTTCCTTAAAAAACAAGGGCAGATTGAAAACTGAAACAAACAACAGCAACTACAGCAAACCCTGAAGAGAGTCTGTCTCATGGACTATGTTGCTGTCATTCTACTGTGTGGATTGTCTCACTGTTGTTGATGGTGGGAAGGAGGAAAGCTCAGCCCACTCCTGATCCTGTGTGGTTACATAGTGTTACATAGCAGTGTTCAGAGCCTAAATAAGACACAAACTACCCAAGAGTTGGCAAATGCCATGGAAATTTGGCTTTTATATAGGGAATAAGAGGAAATGAATACGATTTCCTTTAAAGAACTCTAAATTGCTATTCTTTTCTTTCACTGTTTTTCTATTTTCTATAATATATTAAAAAATAAAAATTAGTAATATTGAGTAAATTGAAAGGTTTGAATGGAGGTGCTAAAATGAATTGTGGAACCTAAGTGTTCCCATACTTGTGAAGATAAATTGTCTTAAGTGATATTTCAATATAAATTATACTTATTATTTTTTTGGGGGGTAGAGTCTCTTTATGTAATTCACTCTATCTGGGAACTCAGGCTGGCCTCAAACTCACAGAGATCCACCTGCCTCTGCCTCCCAGTTGCTGGGATTAAAGACATGTGCCATCATGCCCGGTTATAAATTATACTTTTAATTTCTTAAATATGATAAGATGGTTGAAAAAAGAGTCAAATGTAATTTCATTTGTAGTATTTGAAAATTTCTTGTCTCCTGAGTACTGAAGCCTTTCTGAGTATTCTTCTTTGGCTAAGTCTTGAGTACTTGCTACCCTAAGTCCGCAGATAGTCGGATCACATGGGGAAGTCTGCTTAGTAATTATTACAGCATTTTCTCTCGCCTTTCTTTACCACTGACTTTCAGGTTTCTAGAAGGTTGAAGTCATGCCTTAGCATGCCTTCTTTATAAACTCCTCATGGATTTAAGTGCTTAATAGATTTTATTCCTGTAATAAATTGCTCATTCTAGGATTGTCAATGCCAAGTATAATCACAAAATATTATCTGATGCAAATTTTATGTTTATTGTAGTTTCCTCTTCCATTAGAATATTTACTTGTGTGTATTAACAGGACAACTGCTTTTAGATTTTGAGTGGAATACTTTCTTCTGACTGTAACTTTGTTTAAACATTAGGCCTTGGAGAAAATGCTTGTGCAAAGAAAAGTCATGAGAAGTACCTGATAGCTCTGAAGAGCTCTGGACTGACATACCCTGAGGATAAGCTTGTCTATGGGATGCAGGAGCCATCTGCTGGCACCAGCGCTCTGGCAGTTCAAGGTTTGTCTGTTTAACTTGAACCTTAGTGACTTCATTTTATGGAAACAGACAGCCCCTCAACTTTCCTCAGAGTTGAACAGATTTATTTTGGGTTTCAATAGTGTCATGTCATTCTTCATATTAGAATCAAGAAAGAATAGATTGCCTTTCCTCACAGAGGAAAAGGGTGGTGGTGGTAGACAATGAAGAAAACTCACTTTTCTTAAATACAGGTTGTTCAGTTTTTGGAGTTATGGTTGTGACTCGTGAAAAGTGTAGACGTTGCTCTTCAGACTTCAGCAGCTCAGTGGCTTAGTAGGCATGGCTTACCCTTAAAAAGCAAGCTCCTTCAGAAACAGTTTGTAATTACCAAATTTGGGCTTTCCCTGGGATTTTTCTGTTGAAGCATCAGCCTATTGGATAAAGTTTTTAAAGTAAAGTTGAACTTTGCCAGGGTCACTTTTAGAATAAGGTGTCTTTACTTAATGTTCTGATATTTGCAAGTGTCAGAATAATTTTAAAGTACATCAGCAGCATGATAGACAACCTCTTTTCTTCTGTCTGAAGGTTTTGCAGGTGTTACTGGAACATTGGGACAGGTAGATTCTTCAGATGAGGTGAGATTTAAATTTAAAACTTTTCAAAAATAGAGATTTAAATGTTTTAGAGCTATAAAGGTTTATGGTTGGGGGTGGCAGGTAACTCCGATGGTAAAGTGTTTGCTGTGCAAGCTTGACGACCCGAGTTTGTATTTAAGAGCCCCATAAAAGCCAGGCGTGAGCTTACATCTGTAACCCTCGTGCAAGGAGTTGGAGTGAGGCAGGTTTGGGGGGGGGGGCAGGGTGCTCTCTGGCCAACCAGCCTATGCAAAATGGAGAGAGCCCCTCAAAAAATACATTAGAGAATAACAGAGGGAGGAACCCAATGTTGATTCTGACCTCTGCAAGTACAGCCAGGAGCACACACCTGTACATATAGGCATACATCGTTCTCCCCAACTCAAAATTAACATAAAATCAATGTAGAATTTCTGGAAAAAGTTTATGGTTGTTATCTACTGTAAGTTCCTTATGCAGTTAATCAACATGCTGAAACTCAGGAGTGGCTTCTGGGATGTCTAAATCACACTTATGTAGGAACAGGTCAAGGACAACAGTAGGGTGTTACTTCTTTTCATATGTAGAATGAAAAGTTTTAAAACATTTAGTTAAGTAGGTAGAAGAGGTGGTGCGTTGCTCCAGTCCTAGCACATGGAGGCAGAGAAAAGTGTGCTGGCTGCTGCCTGTCATCCCATCACTTAGAAGGCAGAGGCAGGAGGATCAGTGTAGAGTCATCCTCAGCTAGTTCTCAAATTTCAGACCGGCCTGGCATGTATGAATTTGAGGCTAGTCTGGGTTACTAGAGACTCTTGTCTCAGACAGTAACAAGACAAGAAAGCTCGAAGAATTGGAGGCATTGCTTAGGGGTAGAGTGCTTGCCCAGCATTGGGAAGGCTCCACGTTCCGTCCTCAGTGCCCAGTACATATGGGTTTCATTATGACACTTTCACCCACGCATGTATCATTATACTTTGCTCTTTTTTTCCCTCTTTTCTCCTACCAGCTCTTGTTTCCTCTCTCCCACTGCCGACAATTGTACTTCAGTTTTCTGAATTGGATTTGATTTCTGGACATGTTAGAAAGCCAGCTTTTGAAAGAGGTGCTTTTTCCTCTGATGAGAAAAGAAGTAACTTATTTTGTTTTGGTTTAAACTCTTAGAATTCCAGTTGCAACAACATAGTATCTTCTGCTTGGATACTAGAATAACATCTTTGACAGTGATATCACAGGATTTGAATTATGGCTTCTTGTTCATTATTTCCTGATTCTGTCTTTTAAGGTCTGTTGTATTCTCTCCTCTTAGAATGTGTTTCATCAAGTTCAGTATGCATTTTTTTCACTTGCTTCAGAACTAGTTTGGTTTTTAACTGTTAGAATTTCCTATATTTATGATGTGTTTTGAGCAAATCCATCTCCTTCCATCCTCTGCAATTCTTTTCCTATCTCACCACCATTTCCTCCCAAATCTATATTCTCTCTCTCTCTCTCTCTCTCTCTCTCTCTCTCTCTGTGTGTGTGTGTCTTTCTCTCTGTCTCTCTCAAACTCACTGAGTACAATTAGTGCTGCTTGTATGTGCCTGGGTGTAAGATACCTACGGGACATATTGTTGTCTCTCAGGGGCTGTATCCCTGGAAAGAAATGGCTCTCCCTTCTCCAGCAGCCATCACTTGTCCGTAGCTCCTCAGGTAGGGTGGGTCGTGTAGAGCCCCTTCCCTGTGTATTCTGGGGGTTTAGCTGGCTTATTCTCATGTTGGGTCATGTCCATACAGCTGCAGCCACTAGGAGCTCATGTGTGCAAAGGTACTGTTGTGTCTGGCAAATGCTGTTTCATTGCAGATGTCCGCTGCCTCTGATTCTTACAGCTTTTTCAACCTCTCTTCCATGATGATGATCCCTCGGTCTCAGTGAATGTGTGTAAGATACGCAGCTAACCGTTTAGAGCTGAGCACTCCATAATCTCTTACTCTCTGCATGTTGAGTGGTTGTGTGTTCCTAAATTAATCATCATAAGAAGCTTCTCTGACTCAAGGAGGCAGCGGCAGGTGGATCATCTCTGTGAACTCAAGGCCAGCTTGGTCTACAGAGTGAGTTCCAGGACAGCTAAGACTGCACAAAGAAACTCTCCCCCCCCCCCCCCCCCCCAAAAAAAAAAAAAAAAAAAAAAAAAACCTTCTCAGATAAGGGTTGAGAGATGCCCTGATCTGTAGGTATAAACATAAGAACTTAGAGGGCAGTTTATTATTCTGTTCTCTTTTAGGTCCAGTGGTCTAGCCAGACAGTGATCTAGCTAGACAGAACACAAGATGAATTCTATCTTGTGGATCAGGCTTTAACTCCAGTCAGAAAGTGGTTGGCTGTTCCAATAACATTTGTGCCGCTATTGGACCAGGAGGCGTATATTGCCAATCTAGCTGTTATTGTAGCTCTCCCAGTTCAGAGCTGTGTAAGACTATTGGTTATTTTTCTCTCCTAGCAGGATGCATAACACCTTCTATCTATGACAGTAGGGATGAGACTTCCAGCTTGGTACCAGCCAGATAGATCTTTATGTCCTATGACTCAAGTATATTGTATCTTCAGCAATAAGGTCTTACCATCAGATTCTGGGGATTAACTAAGAATAATGGCAATACCTGTAAATGTTTAAAGGTGTTTAGTTGGAAGTAGAGTGAATGGATATCTATGTAACTTTATGAGAATTTTTTAGAAACATTTCTTTGTTTCTTTTTACTATACGGTTAATTTTTCATGTTCCCCACGATGGCATGATAGTCCTCCTAAAACGAACTTGGGCTTCAGAGTTGGGCGGATGTATTTTTATGTCTTGGTTCATATGGCCTTATTTTACTTTTCAACATTAGTTTTATTATGAAGAAAATAGTGTTAATTTTAATATTAAATTAATTATTAGTTGGGATAGTATATATAAAATCATATACTTGCCACAAATTTAACTTTCTCTCTCCCTTATGTAGGTTGGCCTTGAACTTATTATGTAGCCAAGGATAATCTTGAAGTTTTAATTTTTCTGCCTCTATCTTCCAAGTACTGGGATTGTAGGCATGCACTACCTCACTTGGCTGGGTCCTGGGGACTGATGGCTTTATGCATGCTGCGAGGCAAGCAGTTTACCACTTAGATTACATCCCTAGCCCACAAATTTGGGTCTCATAAGTGTTTTCTATTCTGCAGCCTTATGCGTGGAGGGATTAAAACATATGTCTTATTGTCGGCCATGCTATAGAAATTTCAGCTGACCTTTCTTGAGAAATAGTTACTAAGGCACAATTTAAAGGAAATGAAATTTACCCATCAACCTTTCATTGTTTAAGTAATATGCAATTACATTTTGGTTGTTTCACTGGGCAATTCAGATAAAAATAAAAGTTCCTGTGTGCCCTCTCTAACACTAGTCCCTCTAATACTGCCATTTAATAGTTTCCGTGCTTTGACAGATCCATTTCTATATAGTTAAATAACATTATTGTTAGTGAGAAAGTAAATAAAAAATGGTTTACTACTTGGTGACCTTTATTTACTTGGAAATGAACTGTGCAAATTTCTCTTTGTATGTGTTTTCTTTGGTGGTATAATATTCTAAAGTAATGGGGAGAGCTGCATATTGTCCAGTCATGTTCTTGATTTCTAATTCTGATTCTGAATCAGTGCTTCCATTTCTTTTCCTTTTTGCAAGTATACAAATAGTTCTTTAAGATGTGGAATTGCTCAATTATAGGATGTATGTATACATTTTAATAGATTATATTTTATTTTATATTTATTTTAGTGATTATTTCAGGAAAATTGTTATTTGAAGATGATGATTTTTGTTTTTGCTTTTTATTGTTGTTTCTTAAGACAGGGTTTCTGTGTATAGCCGTGGATGTCCTAGAACTTACTCTCTAGACCACGTTGGTCTCGAACTCACAGAGATCCATCTGCTTCTGCCTCCAGAGTTCAGGGATTAAAGGCTTTCGCCATTACTGCCCAGCAATAATTTTTATATAAAATGGTATTTATTTGTGTTTTATTGATACATGCATACTTACACCCATTGTCTTTGTTTTGTGATTATAAATTTATTTTTGAAAAGTTGACTTAAAAGTAGGAAAGTCTTGTGATATAACAAAAGCAAAAATGAGAAAGAGGAGGAGGAAATTAAAGGTTATAAAAATTATGAATGTCTCATGGATCTGAGAGTTCATTGTGTGAGGCTGATTGAAAATGAATTCCTGAGAATTAACTGACTCACTCAGGATAGTGAATTTCATGTAGTCAGCGGTGGAGTTGAAATTAGGCACGAAGTCTTTTCTTGATTCTTACTATAAAGTGGATAGGCCATTGTTCATGTCTATTGCTACTGTAGAAATGATTTTTGTTGCTGTAGGGGTAGTTGTTTTTGCTAAAATTCTATGCCTTAAAATTACTATTTTATTTTGCTTCCATTTATGACTTAGGAATTTGGGACTGGCAGCTGGATAGTTTTGTCTTGGGTTATCTCATGGAGTTTCAGCTAGAAGCTAAAAGGTAAAGTTATCTGAAGGACAAACTTAGATGGGAGTCTAGGATAATTTACTTACAGGGCTCACAATTGATGTCAACTGTCCAGAGGGAGCGAGCTCTGGTTCTCTTGGAGACAGGGTTTCTCTGTGTAGCCTTGGCTGTCCTAGACTCACTTTGTAGACCAGGCTGGCCTTGAACTCACAGAGATCCGCCTGCCTCTGTCTCCTTGAGTGTTAGGATCACAGGCGTTGTGTGATCTCTGCTTTTTGAGCAGTGTTTACTCTGAATTCTCTGTCAAGGCATCTTAAAACGGACTTCTTTGGTGGCTGACTTACCAGTGTGAGCAGTTCAAGACTAGAACTGTTGAGCCATTTCTGAGCTAGTGTGGCCTAATCCGTCAAGATAACTGTTGAGACTTTGGATTTCTTCTACTGCCTGCTGTTGGGTACATGGAAGTTGGTAGGACGGGCCCACTCACTTTCAACTGGAGGAGGGAGGTAGGATCCTACCTATAGATTAGAAAAATGTTAGGGAATTTATACACGTGGTTTGTAACTTCCACAATCACAACATGATAGTAACCATTCTTTTTCTTGTGCTCTTGTGATATTTGATTATGACTATGAATTATAGTTAAATAGCATTCCAGTAGTTGGCACTTTTCTTTTGACAGATACTGTAAGTGAATGAAATATCCTTCTAGCTAGTAATGACTATTAAAGAGGGTTTTTTTTTTTTTTAAGAAAATAATTTTATTTTCTGTACATTTGTATGAAGGTATCATAATCCCTGGAACTGGAGTTACAGACAGTTGTGAGCTGCTGTGTAGGTGCTGGGAATTGAACCTGGGTCCTTTGGAAGAGCAGACTGTACTCTTAACCACTGAGCCTTTTTTCCAGCACCTATTGAATAGTTTTAATAAGAAAGTCTTCTTCATATATAATGACTTTTGTATATCAAGAGAGTGAAAGATTATATTAAAGATTGAAAGATACTCTAGAAAGGGGATTTAAAAATGCTTATTGTTATTTATATGTGTGCATGTGATCATGTGTGTGTGGAGGCCAGAACGTATTGGCTACTCTGTAGGGTTGTAGTTATAGTAGTTACAAGCCTCCCAGTAGAAGATGCTAGCAGCTGAACTCCAGTCCTCTGCAAGAACAACAAGCACTCATAACGGTTGCTATCTCTCCATTGTTATCCCTCCTTCCACTCCCTCCCCCCCTTTTTTTTCTAAAGATTTATTTATTATTTATACAACATTCTGCCTGCCCACCAGATCTTACTATAGATGGTTATGAGCCACCATGTGGTTGCTGGGAATTGAACTCAGGACCTTTGGAAGAACAGCCAGTGTCCTTAACCTCTGAGCCACCTCTCCAGCCCCTCCCTCCCCCTTTTTAAGACACCGTCTTACTATATAATGCTGACTGTCCTGAAACTTGCTATGTAGATCGGCTTAGCCATGAAATCAGAGAGCTCTACCCGTGGCTGCCTCCTGACATGGTATATTCATTGCTACAGACTGGCTGCACTCACCGTAGTCCCCTTGCCCTGGCCTCCCAGTGCTGGAGTTACAGGCGTAAGCCACCACACCTGGCTTTTTAGAGAGTCAATTTTACCTTTCTAAAGCAAAAGGGAACGCATTAGAAATTGCTAGCATTCTTTATAGCTTTAAGAACAAAATATTTTTAAATTTATGAATATCAAAGTTAGTTACGGATGGACATTGGATGTAGGAGAAAACAAGTAACAGGACAGGAGCCTACCACGGAGGGCCTCTGAAAGACTCTGCCTAGCAGTGTATCAAAGCAGATACTCAGACTCATAACCAAACCTTCGGCAGAGTGCAGGAAACCATAAGAAAGAAGGGGGAGTTAATATGACCTGGAGAGGACAGGAGCTCCACAAGGACCAAATATATCTGGGCACAGGGGTCTTTTGTGAGACTGTTTCTCCAGCCAAGGACCATGTATGGATATAACCTAGAACCCCTGCTCAGATGTAGCCCATGGTAGCTCAGTATCCAAGTGGGTACTATTTCTGACATAAACTCAATGGCGGGCTCTTTGACAACCCCTCCCCCCCACTGCGAGGGAGGAGCAGCCCTGCTAGGCCACAGAGGAGGACTTTGCAGCCAGTCCTGAAGATACCTGATAAACCAGGATCAGATGAAAGGGGAGGAGGTCCTCCCCTATCAGTGGACTTGAAAAGGGGTAGGGAGGAGATGAGGGAGGGAGGGTGGGATTGGGAGGGAATGAGGGAGTGGGATACAGCTGGGATACAAAGTAAATAAACTGTAACTAATATTAAAATAAAAAAGTTAAAAAAGTTATGTTACTGTTAAACTTCTGTTAGTCTTTTGAGCTTGCCTGCCCTACTTTATTTCTGCTTTTGTTTTTTTTATTTTTTTTATTTTTAATTGGGAATATTATTGTATTAGAACTATTTGCCTGCATGAAAAAAATACCACTCAAAGCTACACCATAAGCACAAAATGTGTTGTGTTGTATTGGGATTCATGTAGAGAGAAAAAAGAAACATTTCCACTCACAAAAGTAATGGCATTGTTTTAAATTTGTATTTTACTTTTTTCAAAACAGTTTTTGAACATTAGTAAAATGACTAAAAATTAATAAAGAACAGAATATGCAAATTAAGGAGGAAGTTGATGAAAGGATAGGATAGAATGAAAGCCTCTTGAGTGAATCACTTTTTCCATTGGAAAATATAATTAATACCTGAAAAACTTTCCCATCCCCACCTCTTGCCTTCTTTTCTTTTATTCTTTATTTTTTTTAGTATCTGGCAACTTTAAGTACCGTGGTACACTTGCTTTAGTGTTCGTATTGACCTTTAATGAGGCTTGAAGGTTGGAATTTCTGCACTTTTACCGAATAGTCCCACAGATTATCAAGCCAACCCTTTCATGATTTCAGTCTTTTAATTGAGTAAAAGAAGATAGGATGAGAAGAGGACAGTTACATTTTCATTACCCCTACAGAGATGTAGTTGTAGCAATTAAAAAAAGCATTTTAAAGTCTGGGTCGATAGCTAAGTATTGGAACATCTGTTCAGCATGCACATTGCTGTAGGGTTGATCCCCAGCATATAAAGAAACACACGTCAAGACTTTCAAAGTGGAAGAGATCTAATTTAATCTTCAGGTTTATGATGAAGAAACAGGCTAGAGAAATGGCTCAGTGGCTAAGATATTGCTCTTCCAGGCGATCTGGATTTGGTTCCTACACCCACCTGTAATTTTAGCTCCGGTGGATTTGAATCGGATGCTCTGGTATACCTTGTACACATATACATAAAATGTTTAAATAAAAGAAATACATTTTTTTAAAGAAATACATTTAAAACTCCATTAATAACAAGTTTTATTTCTTTTGGAGTTTTATTTGAATGAGCGTGTATTTGTAATCCACTTAATCTTGATCGTGTCAGCGTGTCAGGTATTTGTCTCCGTTGTCCTCAGTAATGGAACACTGTGTACTCAGCAGTGCTATTTATATATGCATGACAGTTTTTGCAGTATCATTTATTCTTTTCTTGTATAGCTCATCTGAAATCAGAGAAAATGGTTCTTTGTGTTATATGGAACCAAATATAAAATCAAGAGTACATCTTAATTTTATGAACTATTTTAAAGTTTAATATAAAATTTGTAATTATCAGATGATCTAGTTCAATAGAAAATCGTCAGCCTTCTCTGTGAGTGGGTCTAACTGTGTTAGATATTTCTGAGAGGGAAGGGAGTATGCTGTGAGGTAAGGCATTTTGCTCTTTTTAGGTGGAGTCTTGTTACGTAACCTTGGCTGTTTCAAGCTTTGGTCCTCCTGCTATAGCCACCACATTCCAGCATACAGACAACTTTTCATTTCTTTAGATAGCTTGAGGTTCATTAGCAGTGTCTGTATGTTCCTTAATCAGATTAGTAGTTTCTGTGATTTTGAGGTACAAATGGAATAAAAGATTTCTCTGGCAAACTATAACTATCTGAATGTCCATTTTAGAGAAATTGAAGAATGGGGAAAAAGAAAGAAAAAGAAAACACAAAGAAATGTTTTCAGCCTGACATTGGAGTCAACTATTGTTATTAATTTTTTTTATTCACATATATTTTTTTTTCCTGTACACACTTATATAATTGAAGATAATCATTAGCAAAATGTTTAGATGTCTTTGTAGACATTCTTTGATTATTCTTGCTACTGTTCGGTACTGAATAAAAAAACTCCTAATTTTTCAAATCTTATATTGAAGTAGTATAATTGAACTTAGAAGGTAGAGATACTTTTCAAAAATGAATTCTGTGATAGATAAAAAGTAAATATAGTTTTGGGAATTAAAGTTGAATTTCAACTTACCAGGACTTAAGTTAATGGTGGGGGGGGGGGATAAAGAAGCACATAAAGTTTTGTTGGAAAAGTTCTTAGAAGTAGCTACATATTTCTTTCCCATTGTAGGAGTAGACTTTGCAGCATCCTTGGCAGTTGGTAAGCTTCCATGTAAACGCTTCCAGGGATAAGAAATTCACCTAATTAGAAGACAGCTGGTTCTTCTGCGTGTTAGTGTTTATGACTAAGTTCTCATAGCTTGGGGATCTAGCTCAGTGGTAGAGTGCTTGACTAGTTTGCTTGAGGCTCTACCAAATCATTTTTGGGCTAGGGAGAGTGCTCCGTGGTTAAGAGCACTTACTGCTCTCAAGCTGAAACTCCAGTTCTGGGAATCCAGTGCCCTCTTCTGGCTCCCCTGGCCAGACGAACACTTATGCACATAACGCATTTACATGCAGACAAACACTCGTCCACGTAGCACATTTAATAGTTCTTAATATTTACTGGGAGTGGTTGTGCATACTTGTAATCCCCAGCTGTTGAGAAGTGGATATGGGAGGATTAGGAGCTCAAGGCGTTCCTCAGCCACACTGAGAGTTGGAGGTTAGCTGCAGTATACGAGGCCATGTCACCCCTTTGAATGTGCACCTTTGGTTACTTAATACCCTTTTTATATGTAGCTTTTTCATCTGTTAGTAAAGTTACTCTTTGCAGTCTGTGGTCTGGGTCATTGCACAGTGATGGGGCATGTGTCAGGAGAGTAAATACTTTGGATAATGTTGACTTTGTTTTCTCCAGGAGGACCAGGACGGGAGTCAAGGCTTGGGCAAGAGAAAGAGGGTAAAGCTAAGCAGTGGTACCAAAGGTATTTACAGTTTGCCTTTTTGATGTATTTTTATTTTTATTTTTTGAGATTATGTGGTTTCACTACATAATCTAGACTGGCCTTGAAACTCACTGTGTGTTGACCTTGAACCCACAGTCGTGACCCAGGCTCCTAACTGTTACTGGGATGACAGCTGTGTGCCACTACAACTGGCTATATTTGTTTTCTCCAAAAAAAAAAAAAAAAAGAAAGAAAACAAAAACCTTAGTCTTTAGAAATCCAGGCAACATAGTGAGAATCAAGACCTGTCTAAAAAGAAAAATTCTTAGAAGTAAATAAATAAATTTAAATTTTAGATTGTTTGGATTTTTATGTTTTCAGTATATTTGGTTTTAGCCTCACATTGTTTTACATTTGTACCATGCTAGTATTCTTTGAAATGACAGTTCTAGAATGCCCTATCCTAAGCACTTGGGATCAGTTTCTGATTTTAGTGTTTACATCTTTAAAAATTATTTTACCTGTAAGGGTGTTGGGGCTACAGTTATATCTGTGCACCATTTGCGTGCAGTGCCTGCCGAGGCTGGAGGAGGGCAGACGACCATGGAGCTGGGGTTATGGATGGTGGTGAGTCCTTACTGTGGGTGTGAGGAATTGAGCCTGGGTCGGCGGAAGGACAGCTCGTGTTCTCCATTGCTGAACCCTCTCCAGCCCTAATTTTACAGCTGTTTTTGGTCATTTGAAACAGGGTCTCACTGTGTAGCCTTAGCTGTCCTTGAGGTATGCGTGCTTAAAACATTTCAGATTTTGTAGCATTTCCTATTTTGGATTAGTGATATCATGTCTAAAATTTGAAACTCAGTAGAAATATGGGGCCTGGAGAGATGGCTCAGTGGTTAAGAGCACTGGCTGCTCTTCCAGAGGCCCTGGGTTCAGTTCCCAGCAACTGTTACATGGCAGCTCACAACTGTCTGTAACTCTAGTTCCAGGGAATCTGACACCCTCACAGAGACGTACATATAGGTAAAACACCAGGACACATACTATAAAAATAAATAAATTATTTTTAAAAAAGAACAAGTAGTATTTAATTTTTTAGTAGCTGCTTTATATTAAAGTTTTAGGGCTAAATGTTTTGTGGTTTTTTTTTGTGTGTGTGTGTGTACTGTGGAAGTTAGTGACATTTTCAGTACAGCCAGTGTTTATCTTTGAATTGTAGATACTTTCAGGTGTGTTTGATTGGCTGTCAGATTGTATGGGAAGGTTTAAATGAGATGAACAACTTAACTACTGATAGGTTTTTCTCTTTCTTCTACAGATCAATCCATAATGGATGTTTTAAAACATAAAAGTTTTTTAGAAGAGCTATTGTTTTGGACAATAAAGTATGAATTCCCCCAGAAGATGGTAACTTTCTTACTCAATATGCTTCCAGATCAAGAATATAAGGTATCTGTAGCTTGTTTCCTTTTGGAACTTTGCTTTTGTTGTTTTTGGCTTTTTTTTTCTTTTGGTTGTTTTTGACTCTTTTTCTTTTGTTGCATTTCTTAGCTGATGTTCATTATAACGTATCTACAGGTTATAACATGAAAGGGCATTGGCCATTCTGTTTCTTATTGAAAGTCCGCTCAGAATACACAGAATCTCAGCTTTCCTTCAAAGGAGCATTTCTCTCCAGAATTCTAAAGCATTGACATTTTGAATTTAAGTTTTAAAACAATTGTAAACACTATGGTTTAAGGATATAAAAGTTTACTTGCTCTCAATCACACATGAGTTTTTGAAAACTTACCTTTGTTCTGTGAGATCTCTAGCAATAAAATCTAAAGTCCTCGCTTGAAACCACCGTGTAATATCATTGAGCAAGCGAGTTTGGGAACAAAACAGGTGGAACTGTGTGTGCAGGGAATGGTGGGAGACAAACAATAATAAAGTAATTGAAGAAGCAAGTAGTCTGTAGAAGTATCAAGTCCTCTGAGTGACAATTTCAGGGTGCTGTGGGGTGATTGGGTTTAGATTATAGAGTTAGCATGGGTGATTAGTTGCTGTTATGTTGCTAATGGGAGAGTGGTCACTAATCAAATGCAAGTGTAGGGAGGTGTAGTTTTTAGTTCCAGAGGGGTGTGGACCCACTTCTGAGCACTATATAGTTATGGCAAAATGACATAGTTCAGTGTAGGAAAAAAAAGTGTGCAATGGTCCTGTGTACATTAACAGAGAAACTCTCAAGTAGCACTATTTTGTGTGTCTTTATACAATCTAAACAGTACAACAGGAAGTATGCCTGTGGTACAGACAGGAAGTAACACCAGCTGCAATTAATACTGCAGACATTTTGGTCAGATTGCTGGGCAGCTTTCTGGTGGTTTCAAGCGAGGACTTTAGATTTTATTTCTCCAGGTCTCACGGAACAGAGATCTTTTTTGGTGTTTTTTTTTTTAATTTTTGGTTTTTTTCAAGACAGGGTTTCTCTGTGTAGCCTTGGCTGTCCTGGACTCACTCGCCTTGTAGACCAGGCTGGCCTTGAACTCACAGCTACCTGCTTCTGCCTTCTGCTGGGACTACAGGTGTGTGCCACCTCGCCTGGCTACTTTTTTTTTTTTTTTTTTTAAGACAGGGTTTTTTTTCTATATGGCCCTGGCTGTCCTTGAACTCTGTAGACCAGGCTGGCCTTGAACTTGGAAATCTGCGTACCTTTGCTTCCAGAGTGCTGGGATTAAAGGTGTTTGCCATTACTCCTCATTTTTGACAAAATGGGTGTCATTTTGAGCAAGCAAAAAATTTTTTTTAAATGTTTTATTTATTTTATGTATATGAATACTCTATCTGCATGTATACCCACATGCCAGGAGAGGGCATCAGATCACATTATAAATGACTGTGAACTACCATGGGGTTGCTGGGAATTGAACTCAGGACCTCTGGAAGTAGCAGACAGTGCTCTTAACCGCTGAGCCATTTCTCCAGCCCAAAATTTTATATTCTTAAATCACAGCATATAATCGTTTTAAAACTAAAATAGATTAAACATTTTAAACAGCGTTTTAAATTTAAATTTGGAGTTAAACTGTTGTTTTCTTGTTTGTTATTTAAAATTTTTACAGGTTGCTTTTACAAAAACTTTTGTTCAGCATTATGCTTTTATTATGAAAACACTGAAGAAAAGTCACGAATCAGACACGATGTCTAACAGAATTGTGCATATCAGTGTTCAGTTGTTCAGCAATGAGGAGCTAGCCAGACAGGTGACAGAAGAGTGTCAGCTCCTGGACATCATGGTCACTGTGCTGTTGTACATGATGGAGAGTTGCCTTATTAAAAGCGAGCTGCAAGGTAAGCTCAGAATTGTAGTCATTTGTTTGTTGTTAGCAACTTTGTGTAACACATTCTAAAAATACTTTATGTCCTCAAAAATACTGTAAAAATATTTGGAAAATAAGCATTTGACAATTTGTATTTAGGTTTAAAGAAAAAGTTAAAATCACTTCTAGATTAGTCATTATAACTATTCATACTTTGTTGTATTTTTTGTTTTTTTATGTGCTATTATTTTATTTACCGATAGGAATTATTTAAACAAATGTCACCACAGTAAGTATGCATGCATTTTAATAGGTGAAGGTATCATCATGGCTAATAGCATGCTTTAGCTATTTTATATTAAACATACCTGTTTTGTTCCTTTGTTTTACTTTTTGAGACGGGGTCTCAGTATTTAGCTCTGACTATCCTGAAGCTCACCATGTAGGCCAGGCTGGCCTCAAAATCTCCACCTGCCTCTGCCTCCCGAGTGCTGGGATGAAGGTTGGGTGCCACCATGCTCAGCATATGTCCTTTTTTAATCGTAAATTTGTTGTTGACCTTAGATGTTTTTATATAATTGTACTTAAATTGTCTTTGAATTAGAATAAACCTTGCCTTGTCTATATACCCTTAGTAAGAACTTCCATAATTTTCTTTTATACCCATTATTTGGTTGCTACTTCTTGACCCAATATTTCCAACTTTTCCATTCTTGTTCCCTTTATGTACCTTCCCTTAAATAATTCATGCCATGGAATATTTGCTGTGTACCAGGCACTTAGTTGAATACTGTAAATGTGTTGTCTTAGTTGATCTTCTGAAAATGCTGTGATTACCCTCAGTACCTTCATTTTTAAGATGAGAGTATAAAGTCCTTGGAAAGCTGTCATATACTATTGAATTAAATAGCTAACAAATGAGAGTGCCACGAAGGATTTCATATCTCCTGATGTCAGAACTTTCCTTCTGTGCCAGGACACAGGCAGGCCCACACTGAAAGACTGTGTCTTCACTTGTTGACACTCAGAGCTAAACCTCAAAACAAGTGGTCAGGGGAGATGGCTCAGTGGTTGAAGTATGTGTCATACAACACAAGCGTGAGGGCTGGTCTTTAGATCCTCAGAACTCTCATAAATGCCAGTGGGAACGGTGGCCCTCTGGTACCACCGACTGCAGAAGTGGAGACAAGGTGCACAGAGCAAGCTGGCTAACAAGACTTGTCTCATCAGTAAGCTCTGCGTTTGATTGAGAGACCCTTCCTCAGTGAGTGAGGTGGAAGAGCTGGGTGATTCCCAGTGTCAGTCGCAGGCTTTAGCTGAGGAGAGGTCCTGTCGTTGGGCCTTGCTTTGTTTCACTCTGCTGCTTTGGATCTATTGGCTCCTGTTTTCTCATTTTCCTCAGAGGTGAACTGTATCCTGAAAATGACATATGCTTTGTGCATATTCCTCTAAGTATGGTGGCTACTAGCCTTCTAGCATTCACTGTATAAATACTGGGCTCCAGGCTCTCTCTTTTTTTCTTTCTTTGTTTTTTGAGACAGGGTTTCTCTGTATAGCTATGGCTGTAGGCTAGGCTGGCTTCGAACTCATAGAAATCTTGCCTGCCCCTGCCTCCCAAGTGCTGGGATTAAATGTGTGCGTCCCTGTCACCCAGCTTAGGTTTTTACTTGGTACTACATGCTTTATCTCGTTTAATTGTCATTTTGTCACTCATATATTGTTGGCTCTGTTTTTTTTTTTTTTGTCAGTCAATCATACATTTTATTTTTAAAGTCTTATCTGTTTGTCTTATTGTCACCTTTAAAATTATTTTTATTTGTATACTTTTTAAATTTTATTCTTCATTTTTATATTAATTACACTTTATTCACTTGATCCCAGCTGTAGCCCCCTCCTTCATTCCCTCCCATTCCCACCCTCCCTTCTTCATCTTCTCTCATGCCCCTCTCCAAGTCCACTGATAGGGGAGGTCCTCCTCCCCTTCCATCTGTCCCTAGCCTATTAGGTCTCATCAGGACTGGCTGCATTGTCCTCCTCTGTGGCCTGATAAGGCTGCCCAACCTTAGGGGGAGGTGATTGATCAAAGAGCCAGTCACTGAGTTCATGTCATAGACAGTCCCTGTTTCCCTGAAGGAATCCACTTGGATACTGAGCTGCCATGGGCTACTTCTGTGCAGGGGTTCTAGGTTATCTCCATGAATGGTCCTTGGTTGGAGTATCAGTTTCAGAAAAGAGCCGTGGGCCCAGATTTCTTGGTTCTGTTGCTCTCCTTGTGGAGCTCCTGTCCCCTCCAAGTCTTTCTCTCTCCCCCTTCTTTCATAAGATTCCCTGCACTCTGCCCACAGTTTGGCTATGAGTCTCAGCGTCTGCTTTGATACATTGCTGGGTAGAATCTTTCAGAGGCCCTCGGTGGTGGGCTCCTGTCCTGTTTTGTAGATGGGGAAACTGGCTGTTGAAGTTGTTGGTCTATGGTCTTATAGCTCTAACTTAGAAGTCTGATTCAAAGCCTCCTCAACTTTTTTTTTTATCCATGGTGTGTGTGCACTTGTGTGTGTGTGTGTTTGCATAGTTGTGCTTGTGAGGCCAAAGGTCAATGCTATATGTCTTTCTGAATTGAACATGGAGCTCATGGATTGGCTAGGCTGGCTGGCCAGTGAGCTCCAGGGAACCAGCTGGGTCCAGCCACACTCCTTGTCCACCTTAGGTCACAGATATGACTCCATGGCTACACCTTGATCTCCATGTCGGTGCTGGGGAGCCTTCATTCTACCCCAGTGGCTTTATCAGCTTTCCATACAAACTCCAAACTATTGACATTTCTAGGGCTCCATTCCCTGCACTTCTCTCTTTTTATAGCCTATCACACTCTCTTCTTAGGTGTGTATGTGGGGGAGGGGGACATTTACTTTACCACTTTACTCTCCAAGATTAGTTGAATACTTGACCTCAGACCTCAGGTGCTCAACAAGTTTTTGTTTTGTTGTTTCTCACTCTGTAGACCAGGCTGGCCTCAAACTCACAGAGATCCGCCTGCCTCTGCCTCCTGAGTGCTGATGTGTGCCACCATGCCCGGCATACCAAGTCTGTTTTGATGAGTGCATTTAATTTAATCTTGAATCATTGCTCTTTACATCTTTAGTGAGGAAAGTACCAGCTTGGATAAAAAAAGAAGTTGTAATTGCTTTATTTTTTTTAAAGATTACAGGGTGTTTTTTTTTTTCACAAGAACAGTTATATTTAAAGCTGTGTTAGAAAAAAATGTTTTTTATATTTTCTGCTTATTCATCCTCTAGTTTCAATTAGATAGGACAGCAATTCTAAATCTTATTTTATTTCTTTATTTTGTAATTCCCAACATCCAGGAATGCTGTCTCATCAGTGCCACTGGCTCTTCAGTTTTCATTGGAAGGAGTTTCGGTCGGGTTTTTTTGGATTTTGGGTTTTCGAGACAGGGTTTCTTTGTGTAGCCTTTGCTGTCCTGGACTCGCTTTGTAAACCAGACTGGCTTTGAACTCAGAGATCCGCCTGCCTCTTCCTCCCCAAGTGCAGGCATGCAGCCCCACGCCCATCCCTAATGGAGTATTTAGCTTTTCCTTTTTCATACATTGGAATCAGAAACAGGCAAACCTGACTTATAAGGGCTCCTGGCTTTATTTGGTATAACTGAAAAATAGGGTGCAGTCATTTCATGGACTAAACCATTAATGTGTAGGAAGAAACTCAGAAGAGGCCCTCCTTTCAATGGGTTTGGCAAGTTCAGGGTTGCTTGGAAGTCTGATTAGGTAATTTGAAAGTGATACATTGTATTTTAACTTTAAACATAGAAAAACATTTTTACTTTTACTCCTTAAATTAAAAAAAAAAAATCACTAGTAAATGGTACATGTTGATGTCAGAGAACAGCTTTCTACTTCCAGCTTCAGATAGCTTCCAGGGATTGAGCTCAGGTCAGCAGCCTTGTGGAGCAAGGACCTTTTCCTTTACCTGAGTCATCTCATTACTCTCCAGTTTTCACTCCTTCACTTTTTTGGGCAAAATGTTTTTAGAATATGGATTCCTTGATTGAATTTCATGCTGTCTTATATATACTGCATTGGTAAATTTCATTTTCCAATGAAATTTAACATAGAGTTAGCAAAGCAATCTTGCTTTTCTGCCCTGAGGCTTTTTTTGACCTCTATCTGCATGCATTTATTTTTATTGCACCTGAAAGCATATGACCTAGTCTCTATAATATCTCTCAATATGAATTCATATTTCCTCAGTTCATGTGCTTTTTATTTAAATTCTATAATTACAATAAAAGAAAAGTTAGTATGAGCAGAAGAATGGGCGTTGATAACTACATACTTCTGAGTATATTAGAAGATGGTATTGGCATTGAGCATTCTGTGTGCTGTGAGCACTGTATGTTTCACAGTAGGAGTGGAGGCCTCATATTCCAGTATGTCACTTAAGTTGGAATAGGTTCAGAGGGTAGTTTACTGAAAACTGGTGTTAATGACAAAAAATGTTTATTTTGCCTATTCCCCTTTAGCCAATGATAGTTTGTTTTAATTGTTTAAATTAAATTAATTAAATTGGCACATAATTTAATAATTTGGAGCATTTTTGGGAGAAGAGATTGTAAAGAGATTTCAGTGGGTATTTTTGTGAGATACTGTTTGGTAAAAAAAAAAAAAGGCATTTATATATTTTTTTGACTAAAAGAAGGCAATTGATGTGCCCTACTTCATATCAGCAGACTTGAGTGACAAGGTAGGATGAGATTAACCTATTGATAATTTTTTTTGATTGAAACTACAACTGTGTCATTAGAATCAAGAACATGAGGTTTTTCTAAGCACATAGCTAGCTTAGTATCAGCAATGAGGAGGATATATAGTCTTAGGTACTGTCCAGTGTGCTCGGTGCTCTATGTTAACATCTTTCTTAAGTCCTTTGAGATGCACTCGCTCCTCTGTTTTAAGAATGAAGAATTTGTTGGTCATGGTGGGGCACTCCTGTAATCCCAGCACTGTGAGAGGCAGAGGCAGGTGGATCTCTGTGAGTTCAAGGCCAGCCTAGTCTAATAAGACAGTCCAGGACAGCCAGGGCTGTTACACAGAGAAACCCTGTCTCGGGAGGGTCAGGGGTGGGGTGGTGGTGGGGTGGTGGTGGGAACAAACCTAGAGCCGTACAGATTTTAAATACTATGCTGGGGTTAGGTTCTAAGTGTTTCTGATTCTATCGTGTGTAGTAATATTCTGTATTGTTTGTGAAGTTGGTTTTAACAAGAATTTTTGGGCTTTTTTAGATGAAGAAAATAGTTTACATGTGGTGGTGAACTGTGGAGAAGCCTTACTGAAGAATAACACTTACTGGCCTCTTGTTAGTGATTTTATTAATATTCTTTCTCATCAAAGTGTGGCGAAGAGGTTTTTAGAGGATCATGGCTTGTTAGTTACATGGATGAACTTTGTTTCTTTCTTTCAAGGTATGAATTTTAACCTTTTTTTGTTCAAAAATTAATGTTAAATTATTAAATACTAGTTAAAAATAATAATAGTATGTCATTGAGGTTATAAATAAGGTGCTTCTATTTGAATTAATTATTATCTGTAAAAACTTTAATACATTATTCTTAGCAACATAGCAAGGGTTTATTAAAAAATGAATGCATTTTTTCATAGTATGTTAAAATATTAATTTAGAAACAAAATCTATTTTCTCAGATTTGTAACATGTTCATAACAATTTGGACTAGTAGCAATTAAAATTGCTTTTGATTTTCTTCTTTAAAGATAATCAGTTTTGTTTATGACATTTACAGAATGTTTCTTAGAAATGTTAGTTTGTAAAAAAATTCTAAAAAAGGACTGGCTCTTTTTATATTTTATTGTAAGCTTATTTACATATGTCCTGTGTAATTGATGCTACTGGCTTAAAACATGTTGAGTAGAGGGAAAGGTTTGATTTTAAGTTACAGACATGGGCCTGTTTGACAGGCTTTTGTGCTTTGCTTTTTACAAGGTATGAACTTGAACAAGCGAGAACTCAATGAGCATGTGGAATTTGAGTCTCAGACCTACTATGCTGCCTTTGCTGCTGAGCTTGAAGCCTGTGCACAGCCAATGTGGGGGCTCTTATCACATTGTAAAGTTAGGGTACGTTGGAAATATTTTTGTTAATTTCTGCATTTAAAACATAATGACTTAAGAAAAAACACACCTGAAAATATCATATATAATATTCAGTGTTTAATTCTGTTTCAAATTGAATTCAAACTAATCTTTGTGGAAGCTCACCTGTAACGATATATTTTATTCTTGGGCACACTGAAATTCATTTATAGCATCAGACCTTCCCTACTGCCCCAATTTTGAACAGTTGTTGAAACTTCATTATACTCTACTCTAAGCATAATTGTTTCATTGTAACTGTTTTTAGTTGTCTAATAGTTTATATCTTTTAAAAGGTAAAGATTATATTTAAAAAAAGTGTATAATTTTACAGAGTTTTGCTATATAGCCCAGGCTGGCCTTAAACTCTCTTTTGTTTCATACCTGGTCTTGATTTTTCAATTTATCTGCTTCAAGCTATCCAAGTGTTGGGATTACAGGTGTGTGCTATCATGACTGGTTTAAAGTTTATTATTTTAAGATTATAAGCACAAAATAATTTTCACACAACTTGCAGATGTTATGTTTTCCTAGACATTAGTTTGATGAGTCTTTATAAATCAGAAAGAGTCCTCTAAATCTATTGTGCATAATAAGTATATTATAATGAAGATTTTGGTATTTAACCCCATGAAACTCAATCAATTAGCCTGTATCAGAAAAGATTCTGCAGGTCTCAGTACATAGCCTTGACTGGCCTGGAGCTTGCTATGTAGCCCAGGCTGGCTTGGAACTTAGAGAGATCTGCTTGCCTGTGCCTCCTGAGTGATGGGATTAAAGGTGTGTACTACCATGCCCAGTGTCTGGGTAAGATCTTATAGTGGGAATATTTAGAAGCCATTGTTTTAGTCTGATTCTTACTCTTTACACAGGGTCATTAGGTCAGCCCATGAAAACCTATTTGAGATTTGTGTAGTTCCCCTCCCCCCTTCTTAAAACCTTTTATAAATGAAACAAAACAAGATGAAGGGCATCAAGGTGAGCATATTCTTACAGGTAATAATGAGGTTTCTTTTCATCTATCCTTAAGTTTATGTGTTCCTTTCAGTAGTTTTTTGACTATTTTCTCCCACAGATTTACCTAGTCTCTAAACGCAGATGCTTCAAAATTTAGTTATAGTCTAATTTCAGATTTCAAAAGGTCATGTTACTCATGTTGATTTTTATAGACATGTAAAATTTCTCAAATTTCTAATGATCTTGTGTGTGTGTGTGAAAGAGATAGAGACAGAGACACAAAGAGAGGAAGAGTGACAGAGATATAGAGACACACAGAGAGAGAGAGAGAGAGAGACAGACAGACAAAGAGTATAAATGGATGAATATGTATGTGTTTAGTGCTAGGAACTTATGTATGTTAAAAAAACATTCAGGGCCTTATATGTGTTAAAAACTATAGATAAATCTCAGATAACCATAGATACATATCCTGCTTCATCAGATTTTGTTTTTATTTGTGACAAATTCTCACTGTTGAGCCTCAAACTCAAGATCCTCCTGCCTTAGCTTTCCACGTGGTAGGACTCTAGATGTTATAAACATAACTGTAGGCTTTGATTTTTCCCCAAACCTACTTTATTTAGGGTTCTTAAGCACCTTTACCTCCCTTCTACCCCCCAGCAACCTTGGCAGATTAGTAGGGAAAAGGACTGTAGACTTCTTTTACCTGCTTCCTTCTGATCAGCGACGATGAGTTGTTAGGGGGATTACCAGACTCGGACATCAGGATACCAGCAGTCCAGTCTAGAGGCCAACATGAAACAACCACACAAAGTCAGCGAAAGCCGAAAGGCTTTGTTGGATTGCCTGGAGAAGCTCTCTGGAACTTCTTTCTTCGAAGTCAAGTGTCGAAGCATGATATGAAGACCAGCACAGTGATGTCGATCCAAAAAGTGATATCTCACTGTGCTGGTGTCTTCTCCTCAAAGTCCACAAACGGGTGTTCTCAACACATGAGGGGTCACAGCAAAACAGCACATGCTCTCTCATAAGCTAACCTGGGCAAAACATCACGTGCCCAACTTGCAGCAAAATATCACATGGCAAAACTCAGTCTTCAAGGAAACCAGAAACTTCCACTTCACATGACAGCTTTTGCTATTAGCTTTAAAAAATCATCCTGCATACTATATTTCATTTGTGTTCTTCATGTCATTTAATGGTATCGTAAATGATTTAAGAATCTATAATTTGCCTTAACTTACATTTATAGTGCATCCTCTTATACCACCTCCATGTTGTGGTTGATGATTGTTCCTTTCCTTGTTCCCAAGCTTTGATTCAGGGTAGGCCTCGCCTCCCCATTTGGAGCATGTGCTTTCTCACTGTCTCTTCTTGGCGCAGTGCTTCTCTTGCATGGGAAGTTATCTGGGAAGTTTAAACTGACAACAACAAACAAACAAACTGTACACACGTTTAAGCCCCACTGAGAGATGTATTTTGCTATGCAGTTGAATATGAGTGGTGATTGCAGCTAGAGTGAAGGACTGTTAGGGTTAACTTTTGGAAAAGTCTGGAAGCCTCAAGCTTAACATCCTTTCTGCAAGCAGCATTCCCTTTGTGTTCATAGTTCCTGTTTAACCTCAGCTGGGGGTTTATTTAACAACTGCCATGTAGTGGGAGGTTTGTTTGTTCATTTACTTGGAAAGGTTTATTAAATGCTGCTCTGTGTTAGGCACCATCTACATCTTAGGTATTTTGGCATTGAACCAGGTAGATATGGTTGTTATTCTCAAGGACACAGGGTAAATGTATCAATTTACATTGTAATTATGCTCCCTGGCAAAATCACATCTTTTTTTTGCGTGTGTGGGAGAGAAAAGCAGGTTAAATCTGAAAATCAGAGATCTTTTTGAAAAAAAAAAAAAGAAGGAACCAGACGTCCAAAGAATAAAAGAGGGTTAGTGGTGATCATGTGGGAGGTGGAGAGGAACAAACTGTCTCCTGTGAAAGTGTTTTTCTGTAGAGGGAGTTTGTGTCTAGAATAAGAGAGTAGATATAATTCATTGGGGGATAGAGGGATCAGATTACAATTCAGGTTCCTTTAACTACATCGAAGAATCTTGGGTTTAATTAAAGAGAATTCTGTGAAGATTTTAAGACAGTTTATGATCAGATTTATAGATAAAAGACTAAGTGTAAGAAGATGTAGCATGGTGGGAGAGCTCTTGTCTAGCACATGAAAGTACACACACACACACACACACACACACACACACACACACACACACACACATATAGAGACTATGAGTAGGTAGTTTATTAAGATGTTTTGATAAACCAGTTCATGGATATTTCATTTATGATTCTTAAAAAGGTCTTTGGGAAGTGAGGAGAAGAATGATGGCCTCTGGAAACTGATGGTGAGGGAGCTTTGGAAAAAGACCAGCAGATACAAAGTTTAAGCCTGACCAAAGGGATGTCTTTGAGATTTGGTACATGGTTGATCATTGTTTACAACATGTATATTTCAGACTTTTTTGAGGGGTACTTGTTCTACATTTGTGTATTTTTCTTTTTAAAGTTTAGACAAATTAGTTCATTTTCAATTTAGTATACAAGGTCAGCACATGCAGTGACACACATGAAAGTAAGAGGACAGTTTACTAGAATTGATCCCCTCCTTTTACCATATCATCAGACTTGGAGGCAAGCACCATTACACACTGAGCTACCTCACTGGGCCTATCTCACTATTTCAGGTTTTTTAAAAGAATAGATTGTAAGTACTTTAATTATTAAAAAACAAACAAACACTTTTCTTTTTTTAATCTAAGGGGGCTGGAGGGATCAGTGGCTAAGAGCACTTGCTGCTCTTCTAGAAGTCTGAGTTTGGTTCCTATCACCCACATCAGGGAGCTCTCCAAATCTGTAAGTCCAGGGGAAGCTGATGCTTCCGAGGGCACGTGCTCACACATGCATATACACAAAACTAATAATTATAAAAAATAAATCATAAAATACAACAAGATAGATCTGATCGCTGGTGTACATGCACCAAAATGTCACATTTTACTCCATAAATAAATTCAAGTATTTCTTAATTTAAAAGATGCCGCAGCAGTAGTCTAAACGTGAGATCTTAAACATAAGCATGAAATTGTCATATTCAAGGTATATATATATATATAAGGTATATATATATATTGGATATTCAAGATGCATTTTAGAGGTAGAATTAATGGGCTTGGTATATGTTTTTGCTGAGAAAACTTGACTGTCAGATAATGTGTACAGAGGAGGAAAAGAGGGATAGAAAGAGGTCGGTTTTAGGGCTGTTCAAAATGTCTGTGCAATGTGCAGATGGAGACAATGGAAAGGCAGCTGGTGCAAGTCTCAGGCTCAAAAGAGAAGTCTGGACTGAGTCTGTAATGTAAACATTAAATGCTTTGGCATGTAGATGCTGTTTATTACTAGGTAGTAAATGAGATCAAGAAAGGAGATGAGACATGAACCATGAAGAAAGAAGGGAGAGGAGACCTAGAGGAATGAGAAGTCTTGTAAGGCAATAACTGATTCAGGAAGATAAGACTGACATGAGGCGATAGTTTTAGACAGGTTATTTTGACAGTTTTGCTTGGGGTGAATTTGGATTATGAAGCTGGATTTATATTTATCTCTGTGGTAGTGAGAAATTATTGCTTCTAAGTGGTGACTTGCTTGCCTATCTACCTATCTACCTGTTTCTCTCTCTCTCTCTCTCTCTCTCTCTCTCTCTCTCTCTATGTTTCTGAAGGCCAGAATTGTAGTGGCGTATTTAGAGGGAAGTATCCCCTTAATCTAAGAGGTATAGAAGATGGTGAGAAAACAGGGTTGTAGAATATCTTCTGTAACCTTTGCAGTAACCAAGAGAGCAACTCTTCAGTTAAAGAAGCATCTTAGTTTCTAGATGTTCTCTTGATGAGCATCAAGATGATACCAGATGTTGTGCTAGGTCCGCTAAAGATACTTCCATCCAATCCTCATACCATCTTTTAGGAAGTCTATGGCATCAACCATTTCCTTCAGAGATTAGACAACTTTCTTGGCTCACACAATTGCAAGAACAAGCTGAAATTGAAAGCAAATCTGTCTGATTTTAGAACTGGTGCTCTCTACCAAATTGCTATTATTTATTTTTCAGTGAGAATGCCCAGAGCTGTTTTAGCAGCAGTGCTGACAGTTTTTAGAAATGGAAACTAGAAGAAGTAATACTATTTAAAGTTAAGCATCTATTTTGTATCTACATTCGCCATTATAAAATATAAAAGTAAAGGATTAAGTAATATAAATGTTATGGAGTCATATGATTTATTGTCTTTGTATAATTGCTTCCATCTAGTGGCAAATTTAGCTTACTGCAGATTCAGTGAGTCTCACCTTGACTCTTGGTGCATGTTAGCCCCGCTAATGAGGGCTAGTGCTTAGACAGACAAAGCATTTTATATGCATAATTTCACTGTATCTTCATGACTACTGGAAGGTAGGTGTTGTTATACCCACCTTATGGAGAAATACAAAGTTTAAGTAACTTGTAGCAGCTTATAATGAAGAATTACCAGTATGCATTCTAGGGTGGGGAATGTAGGTGGGCGGATGAGGAGAGAGCATCTGAACACAGTGTTACAGTACTTTGTAATGGAACTAATGGCCCGTCTTCAGTAGCACTCTCGGTACCTTTGGTTAACTTGTTCTGTGGTCAGGTTTGCTGTTTAGACTTGTGCTCAGTCATAAAAAAGAGTCTGTCCAAATTCAGAACATGGCGTATTTGGTTTTCTAAGTTTCTTTTTCTTAAAAAAAAAAACAAAACTTGCTTTACATTTTATTTATTTACCCATGCACCCATGCACGCACCCACCCACCCACCTACCCACCTGTCTGTCTGCATGCCCAACCACCTACCTACCTACCTACCTACCTACCATCTGTTTATTGTTGGGGTGGGGCTGTAGGCGTACGGGTGCGCCATAGTGTAGGTGTGACAGTGAGGAGTCTTCTTTTTCTCCGTGATTTGAGTCCTGGGGGATGAACTCGTCTGCTCAGGTTTGGTGGCCAATTGCCTTTACCTGCTGAACTATCTTGTGGACCTTCAAAGTTTCTTTATACATGAATTAACTTCCACGTTAGTTTAAGACAGGTTATTTATTATTAACTTTAAGTGTCATTAAACTTTTTCAGTGAGAGATAGGGAGCAGAGTGTGTAAGATAATATGTTTATAAAGATAAATTTCATGCAGGGTAGATTGGGACAGAGGGAGACTGTTGGCAAGGTGACCAGGTAAGTGGTGTTTGCACTGGGTGGTGGCAGCGAAGTAGGCGAGGACCTATATGATTATGTCACGGAAGAAGTGACAGGACGTGGAGAAGAGCAGGTAAAGGAGCAGTGAACACTGAATGGGGAGGGTGCTATGATAGATGCAGAAGATCAGGAGTTCAAGGCCAGCCTGGGGTATATGAGACTCTGTCTCAAGAAATTTAACAAAAAAAAAAAAAAAAAAAAAAAAAGAAGAAAAGAAGGAATGTGAAATTTGCCTTTGTGTGCGTGTGTGTTTTTTAAAGGCACAGGTGGTTTGTATAGGTAGCTGATGAAGTTGATGTACTTGACTTTGAGGCTACATGCACTTTTATGTTTTACGTTGGTTCTCAAAATAATTAAGAGAATTCCATTATTTTTTTAATTCAGATAAAATGTGTGTTCTAACCATTTTAAATTACACAATTAAGTAGTTTATAGTGTATTTTCAAAGTTATGCAACCACACTACACTAATTCTAGAACATTTTAATTATTCCCCAAAGAAACCATTTACTTGCCATTTCTGACCTCCTAGCATCTCCTGGAAACTACAAATTATTTTAGAGGGAAGAGGGAAGAGATTTTTTTATTCCTTTCCTTTCCTTACATGTGTGTATGTGTGTGTGTATATATATATATATATATATATATATATATATATATATTTATTTATTTATTTATAAGAGCCTTTAGATTTACATTTTCATTTAACTTAAAACTTAACTATTTGAGTAGATCCATTTTTCATTAAGTATTGTAATTGCTTTTCACAGTTCTCTTACTGAAAATAGTTCACACCATTTCTTTCCTAAGCCAGGATATTACAGGCTAATTGTAGCAGGTATATATTCTAGCCTCCTTTTTTATTGTGTATAGTATCCATAGAAAATTGCTCTTCAGCCATTTTCCGGTGAACAATTTAGTGACATTTAAGCCCATTGCCAGTGATTTCTAACTGTCAGCATTATGGTTAGAAATAACTAGTACTTGTTCATTATCCTCAAAGAGATTTTTATATTTACTGAATAACAGTAATGAATTTATGGTATTTTGGGGAAGCCATTGAAATGGAACTTGCTTTTAATCTATTTAAAGTGTTTTCTAGCTTTGCTTCACTTTAAAGAATATGTAGAAGGAAGCACGTTATATTCTGTAATTTTCATATTTGTCATTGGTTGGTACTTCTAGTTTATGAAGGAAAGGTTTCTTGGAACAGAAAAGATAGAGGTTATCTTGAAAGTATCTGCATTTTACCATTGTATATGCAATGCTTACTATTACATGTAATTTCACTTTGAAAATACATATGTTTATGTACTATGAAATTTATATAACTCTTTTTTAAAGGAAACTCAAGACTATACTCGAAATGTTGTAAGGTACTGCCTTGAAGCTCTTCAAGATTGGTTTGATGCTATTAACTTTGTAGATGAGGTATGTTTTATATGTCTGTGTACATATATATAAATTGTATGAAAATATGCTTAAGTTTGTTTTATTAGGGATTGAACTCATGACCTTGTGCATGCTTTGTAAGTGCTGTATTGCTCAACTATTTAGCTATGTATGTTTTTTTGGCATATATAAAAGCATTTACGGAAAAAGTGTTAGATTTAACTTAACATTGAAAATTGTGAGTATCTTTTCATGGGTTAAGAGTAGAAGAATTACTATCATAATGACTTGACAGAACCAACGGAAAAGGGATGGCTAGTTCTTCGACATTCAGGAGCTTGCAGAGTATCTTAATTGTGTTTGCTTTTATCCTAGAGGACAGAGGCATGCTTTTCCATCTTAAGTGTATGTGTGTCATTTCTCAGGAGTGGAAATTAGCTTAAGTTGAAGAAATAAGAGTATTGGCATAAATGTGAATGAGGTAGGGAGATTAATTAAAAAGTATATTCCAACTCTTATTATTTGGGCAATGTTCTTGATAGAGAATGGAAGAATGAGCTTGAACAAAAGTGTTTTTTTTAAATTAATAAATGAACAGAATGTTGGCACAGGGCATACTTTCTTGGCATTGAAAAAGTCATTCCTTCTCTTAGAAGCTCCTTCTCTTAGAAATAGCTTAGAACATGCTGAATACAGAAGAAAGATCAGACAGTGCTCCCCAGTTACCCAACTCCCACCCCAATTTAAGTTCTGAGTCCTGAGCAGGTTGGACTCCTGTTGTGTATGTATGTGTGCAAGGGAGGTAAATTGTTCTATTTCTTTCTTTTTAAAAAAAAAATTAGTTTGGCAGCCTGGTGTGGTGGTACACACCTGTAATCCCAGTACTGGGGAGGCAGAAGAAGGCAGTCTCTGTGAGTTTGAGACCAGCCTGGTCTAAAAAGTAAGTCCAGGGCAGCCAAGGCTACACAGAGAAACCTTGTCTCAAAACCTTCCCCTGCACCCCCTCCCCTCAAATAGTTTAGCATGCAAGTTTATGACTTTTATTCTGGCACCTTCATACACAGTTTGCTTATTTGAAAAACATTTTGACAGAAATTTACTGAAAAGTTAGGAATACAAAGAACTTTCTTTTCTGGGATCTTCAGTATTACTGATTTTATCCCTGTTACTACTCAAAACTTAATATGCATTTACTATGACTTAGTTAGAATATTCACTTATAAGTGAAATACAACTTTATAATCATTTACAGATTCTAAGCATCTAATTCTTCGAGGTCATTTATGTCTCAGTAATTGCTCACTGATGTGTATGCGTAGGTGTGCCTGTGCACGTAGGTGAGTATGCACACAATTCCGTGTTCATCTAACAGTCAGCTTTGGGTGTCATTCCTTAGGGGCTGTCCTTGTTTTTGAGGCAGGATCTCTCACTGACATACACTTCACTAAGTAGGCCAGGTGGATTGGCTGGCCCAAGGATTTGCCTTTCTTTCTTCCCGCTACTGGGATTATAAGGAAGTAACAGGATGCCTGGCTTTAAAAAAAAAACAAAAAAAAAACAAAAAAAAAAACAAAAAAAACAACAACAACATGAGTTCTAGGGAGATAGGATGCAGGACTTAGGTCCTGGTGTTCATGATACTGTCTCCAGTTGTCAGTGATGTTCTTCATAGCAAAATGACGGTTCAGAATCACTTCGGGGAATTTTATTACCATGTCTCAGATCTGTTTCTGTAATACTTCGTTAATGTTTCTTTATCGTTGTAGACAGTGGCATTTTGAAAGGTGTAGTTATCTTGTAGGGTGTTCCTCAGGGTTCACATCATGATTAAAATCAGATTACGTGTATTTTCCAGGATATTCACAGGAAGGTTGTTAGTGGCTTTCAGTGTGTCTAATCTGATGGTCTGTGACACGTTTTCTCACTTTGGTCACTCAATGTAATGCCCGCTGGCCTTCAGCTGGGAGTTGTTCTTTTCTCACTGTAACTAATATGCTATCTTGTGAGGCACACCTTGAAACTGCAGATATTTCTTTATTTTCATTCAGTTTTCAGTTCTCTAGCTTACTTCTGTATGATAGGGTCCATGGTTTTTCAGTCAGATCTGTTTGAGGCTGAGATGGTCTCAGACAGGTGTCTCAAATTTGACCTCAGTGAGAGCCCTGCACGTTGGTTTCCGTCCTTTTACATCCTTTTTGAATACTTAAATGCTTATGTCCCTTCAGAAGTTTTAGGCTTATCTTATAGTTTCTCCAGTCCTTTTCTGGAGTTTGTATTGGTATAGCTACCTAATAATTTCTAGTTTCTAGTGCAGAACAGGGTTTAGAAAGCAAGAATTGGGTGTTGGTGTGTTCATGCTGTGGGCGTTCTTTTCTTCCCAGGGTTGACTAAGCAGAACTGAGGAGCATAGATAGGACAATAGTTTTACAACTACATATATAATGATTTTTAGTTCAAAAATCTTCAAACTTAATGTTTTAACACTAAAGAACTTACTCCAGTTTGGTGTTTGAAACTTCAGAGGGTACTGCTGAGATGTTTGAAAGCTATGCTTCCAAGATTTTAAATGTTGATTTAAAAACCAGCGTGGAATTCATCTAGGTGGGATTATTTATGATGTTTAAAACCTTGAAACCTTGATTTGTGGACTTTGTTTACTCCAGCCAGCTCCTAACCAAGTCACCTTTCACCTGCCACTACATCGTTATTACGCCATGTTCTTGAGTAAGGTGAGATTCATAGTAATGGCTTCCCTTGTTGCTGTCATTTATTGTGTGGGGGAGAATATTGAATTACTAACTTTTTAATTATGGATTTTTAGGCGGTGAAATGTCAAGAACTAGATTTGGATTCACTTTTACCAGATCAGGAAATGTTAATGAAACTAATGATTCACCCACTCCAAATTCAAGTATGTATTCAGGCTTCCAAAACATTTTGTTTGTTTGCTTGCTTATTTATTTGTTTGTTTTATCTATCAGGCAGGGCTTCTCTGTGTATCCTGTCTGTCCTGGACTTACTTTGTAGACCAGGCTGGCCTTGAAATTCGCAGAGATCCACCTACCTCTGCCTCCCAGAGTGCTGGGATTATAGGCATGCACAACTGCGCCTGGCTTTTTAAAACATTTTTAATGGGACTTCTTGGTTAACTCATCTTCCCTTAGTTTTAGTGGATGATAGACATGAATTAAATTTTAATAGAATAAGAACAATTTCTCTAATCTGATTTTTTTATTTTTTCTGTTTATTTGTAAGATGGGTTTTCTGCATTGAAAGTTAAGTTAGGTTGAGTTAAAATGCAAAGCGGAGTCATTGAAGACCAATTACATTTGTTTTATGCTTCTTTCTCGCCCCCCTTCCCCTGAGACAGGATTTCTCTGTGTAGCCTTGGCTGTCCTGGACTCAAAGTTACACCTCCCCGAGTGCTGGGATTAAATTGTGTGTGCCACCATGTCTGGCTTTCTGCTTATTTCTTTTATTATTATTATTATTATTATTATTATTATTATTATTATTATTATTGTTATTGTTATTATTATTATTGTAGGTAGGGCAAGGGTTGAGGGAGAAATAGAGTGAAAAATAAGCACTGATTTTAAAAAAAGGTTTTTTTAAATTTTTCTTTGTTTTAAATTTACTTTACATCCCAAGGGTGCTCCCTTCCTCCTCTCCTTCCAGTTCTCCCTTCCTCTTTCCCATCTCCCTTTCCCCCAGAAAATGGGAGCCCTCCCCACCCCCTGTATCAGCCTTCCTCAGCATATCAAGTCACATTAGGACTGTGAATATCTTCATCTCCTAGGGCAGGCAAGGCAGCCTGAGGGAAGTGATCCAGAAGCAGGCAGTAGAGTCCGTGAGAGAAACAGCAACCATCCCCTCAACTTGCCAGGCGCCCCATCGGCCACATAAGTGCAGGAGGCCTAGATCCCGACTATGCGTGCTTCTTAGTTGATTCTCAGTCTCTGAAATCCCCATGGGACTGGGTTAGTTGTCTCTGTCTTTTTGTGAGGTTCCTGTCCTATCCAGGTCTTCTATCTTTGCCCCAACACTTCCACAGGACCCCTGGAGCTCTGCGTCACACTTGACTGCAAGTCCCAGCATCTGTCCCAATCCCTTGTTAACTGGAGCCTCCCAGAGAACAGTCAAGTTAGGCTCCTGTCTGCAAGCATAGCAGAGTATCATTAGTGTCAGGGGCTGGCTCTACGGTGGGGTGGTTCTCAGGTTGGGCCAATTGGACTTTCCTTCAATCTTTGTTTCTTCTTTATCCCTGCACTTCTTGTAGGCAGGGTAATTTTTAGATCACAGGTTTTGTTTGGTTGTTGTTCCCCTCCTTCTGCAGCCCTGCCTCTCTAGGAGGTGGTCACTTTAGTCTTCATGTCTCACCGTTAGGAGTCTCAGCTAGAGTCACACCCACATCCTCCCAGGCATCTACCCTGTTGCAGGTCTCCAGCTTGACAGAGATATGCTCCTCCCCAGTTTCCTTCTTGTTCCCAGTTCTCCCCATATCTGACTCCCACCTTTGTCTCTTTCCCCATTCCGTCTCCCAGTTCCTCCCATCATCCACTTCTGCTGTCTGTTCTACTTCCCTTTCTGAGTGACATTCTGGCACCTTTCCTTGTGCCCTCCTTGTTACTTAGCTTCTTTGGGTCTGTGGGTTGTAGTACGGTTATCCTATGCTGTAGGTCTGTAAGTGAGTATATACCATGTGGGTCTTTCTGGGTCTGGGTTACCTCACTCTGGATGATCTTTTCTAGTTTCATTCATTTGCCTGCAAATTTCATGATTTCCTTGTCTTTAATAGCTAAGTAGTATTCCATTGTGTAAATGTACCACAATTTCTGTGTCCATTCTTCATTTGAAGGACATCTAGATTGTTTCCAAGTACTGATTTTTAAAAAAGATTTCAGTGAAGTTATTATAAATGTATCCAGAAACCTTAGTGGAAAACTAGCTCATTTATAAACTCCAAAGAAGAAAGCTATATAAAATATAGTCATTAGTTTGGATATTTAAGAAAAATCCTATAGAGTGGGACAGAGGCCAGCGTGAGGTACATAGTGATTTTGTGGTCAGCCTGGGCTATGTAGTTAGACCATGTCCTAAAAACAAAAGCAAGAAAAAGAAAAGAATATTTAAACTGACTATCTAATGTTGGATAGAATGCTGACTAATTAGGTTCATATTATGATGAAGTAAAAAATATTTTAACTGATTGCTTAATACAATATGATTTTATTGAATGAAGATGACATATTTTCTAATTCGTTTCTGATTAGGCAAGTCTTGCTGAAATTCATAGCAATATGTGGGTGAGAAATGGTCTGCAAATAAAAGGACAAGCCATGACCTATGTCCAGTCTCATTTCTGTAACTCCATGATTGATCCGGACATTTACTTGTTGCAGGTGAGTCCGCTCCAGATCCAGGGTGTGTGCTTTAGAAGTGCCTTGATGTGCCTGGTGTCTTAACTTACGGTGGTGACAGTGATGATGAGAGACAGTTCACTGAGGAAATTTCCCAAAGGAAGGATGCTGTACCTTATGGGCCACAAGGCAAGCATAAGGTTTAGTCAGGACACAGAAACAGGAACCAGGAGAAAAGCCCAGGCAAACACCATTTTGGGGGTTTCTGTAGGAAAGGCAAGACAGAATGGAAGAAGGTGTTTATATGGTTCTGGCCAACTCTGCTGCATAGGGATGGCACCCATTTGTGTTCTGTGCAGCCTGGGGTTCCTGGAGGGCTTGGGAAGGGCTGCATTTGTCTGTGAGCTGGGTAGAGTGGGTGGGTGCTTATGTGGGCCAGGCTCTAAATGACTTCTCTACTGTGCCTGGGAAGGCACTGTCCTCACACAGCTTTTACTAGTCCTGATGCTTTCTCTGGTTTTGTGTAAGAAGCAAAACTGAATGTGAGAAATACAGCTTTCCTTGTGTTTTTAAAGGTCTGTGCTACTAGACTTGACCCGGATTATTTTATATCGTCTGTCTTTGAGAGGTGAGCGTATATTTGTTAAGACAGGTACTGGGAAGTGTCTGGAATTTAACTTAGCTTTTTTTATTCTCTGAGAATGCACTCACTATTTCCTCTTACAGGTTTAAGGTGGTGGACTTGCTGACCATGGCATCACAGCACCACAATACAGTGCTTGACGCGGAGCACGAGCGGTCCATGCTGGAGGGCGCGCTCACGTTCCTTGTGATCCTTCTGAGTCTGCGGTTACACTTAGGTAAACCACCGACAAACAGTGATGTTGACTACTGACTGTTTCTTTGTCTTCGCCTATCCCTCTGCTAGTACCTTGTTTATGGAAAAAAGGAAAGGGATGTGGATATACTTAAACATACTTTTAAAATCTTGACATGTACAATTAACACATGGTTTAGAAGAGTCTTTAAAAAATCCTTTGCCTACAGGAGCTGCATTATCAAGGCTGTGAAACTGCTGTTACAATTTGGGCCTTGCCGTTTTTTACTCTTAGCTTTAGGCATTTCAACATTTTGTAGAACATCGTAATAAAATATGTGGTGAGTTCTTTGTTATGTATCTCTGTATAGAGTAATTCTGTTTTTACTACTTTTAGGGATGTCTGATGATGAGATTCTCAGGGCAGAGATGGTAGCCCAGCTGTGTATGAATGACAGAACGCATAGCTCATTGCTTGACCTCATATCCTTTAAAAATGTAATTTTGTGCTCATGGTAACAAATTGCTTTTATGGATTAAAATATATAAATTTTAAAAGATTTTTTTTAAACTTGAAGATATGCAGAAAAAGAAAAATATCAGTTGTTTGCTGAAGGATGTGTTCAGGGCAGGTGGTGTGCATTGTCATCTCTGACTGTTGGGAAGACTTTCTCATACTTCTGGGTTGACCTTGGGATTCATAGTTTTGGACACATTAGGGAGAGAAAGCTGGGCATTTTGTAAATGGGACCCATGTCTTTTCCTTTTGCCGCAATGCACAGAGCTTAAAGAGAGTCGTCTTTTTTTGTTTTGTTTTGTTTTTCAAGACAGGGTTTCTCTGTGTAACAGAGTCCTGGCCGTCCTGGACTTGGTTTGTAGAATAGGCTGGCTTTGAACTCAAAGAGATCCACCTGCCTCTGTCTCCAGAGTGCTGGGATTAAAGGTGTGCACCTCCATATCCAGTAGAGAGAGTCTTTATAATTAACACTTTTCAGAGTTTTTTTTTTTAACTTTCTTTTTTTAAATTTTTTTTAACTTTTATTAATTACAAGAGTTTTTAATTCAAAGATTTTTGTTAGAAGCAGTCTTAAAGAGTTTTCAAGTTTATGGATTATCCTCTACCTACTGGAAGCAGGGTCCCTGGTATAGAACTGAGTATTCAGTAGTAGCATTTTTGTTTTGTTTTGTTTTAAATTAAAGAAATATTATTTTACATGTATGGGTGTTTGTTTGCATGCATGTGTGGGGTGCACATACATGCCTGGTCCCTGCAGATGTCAGAAGAACCTGTCATATTCCCTGGAACTGGAGTTACAGAAGGTTGTGAATCACTGTGTTTGGCTGGGAACCAAACTTTGGTCCTATGCAAAAGCTGCTTTAAACCACTAGACCATCTATCCAACACCTGCCCTTCCCCCCCCCCACTTTAATGCATTAAAAAAATTTTTTTTTTAATGCTGATGTTTTTGAGGTAGGAGCTCACTGTGTAGCAGCCCTGCTTGGCCTGGAACTTACAGTGTAGACTGGGTAGGCTGCCCTTGAACTTGGCAGAGATCTTCCTGCTTCTGCCTTCTGCGTACTGCAGTTATGGCTTATACCACTGTACCCAGCAAGGTAATGAAACCTTAAAAATCCTAATGTTATTTTGTATTTGATTAAATTTAGTATATATGTGTCATAGGGTTGGAAGAATTGATTGAAATTTTGGTTTTGTGAAATAACTCCTATTAGAATATTTGCTTGACTACTTTGAGTATTTTGTGGCATCAATTCAGTATTGTCTGGTAGCCATCCCAATGTCCGCCACTGTGATAAGGGTTAAGTCTAAGGCCTTGAACGTACCAGGCAAGAGCTCTATCCTCAGCTTCCTTCTGATGATTTCATCAAACAATTATAGACTATCAGTGCTACTACAGAGCAAAAATCATTTTCTATAATTTTGAATTTAGTTTAAGAATTTTATACCCTAATATGAAGCAGGACAAAGTCTTTGTGGTTTGATGCTTTCCCTTTGCCTAAGCCCACTTGTTTTTATTTGGGGGAAATTTTGCTTTTGGAAAAGTGATGTTTACTCACACAAATCTGTACTAAGTTTTAGTGTATTCTTTTTGGCCTTCTGAAGAAGGTGAGGTATATGCAGTGATGAAAATGGAGATAATTGAAATTGTTTTCCACTAATTGAATGGAATTTGATGAATTTATTTGGGGGAAGTGTGCTTGGGACTACTTCATCGCATAGTTTATTAGCTGGATTCTAGATTTAAATTATTGAAAAAGACATCACAATGATACTGAACTATTACGTGGCCCTCTGGTGGCCAACTTGATAAAATGAATTAGAAATGAGTAATTTCAGACTTTGAAGCTGGCTGTAGTCATTAATATTGTTTTTTTCTTGACACATACATCATATCCCGGAAAATCCCAACCCTAAAAGTGGCATTATTCCTGGAAGTTATAGTTTTGAATCAGTTTTATCTGCTGTAGCTGATTTTAAGGCTCCTGTTTTTGAACCTGGGGGCTCTATGCAACAAGGCATGTATACTCCCAAAGGTATGTGTCCATACATAAATGCATTCTTCCCTGTGTACACTGAAAAATGTTTGTTTGTGCATTTATTAATTTAGTGTGCATGTGTGTTTGTGTGGGTGTGTATATGTGTGGAGCCAGAGGTAAGCCTTGGATGTGTCATTTATTTCTCTTATTTCTTGTTCTTTGTAGCAGGGTCTCTCATGGAAACTGGAGCTTACTTAATTATTGACCAGAGAGCTCCAGGGCTTTGCTTGTCTCCACCTCCGTAGCTCTGGGTTTATATGTGCATGTGACTCTCCGATGGAGCCATGTCCTTGTACCCTAAAAACAAGTGCTTTCCTGACTTTGCCCCTTCAATATTTGTCTTTTATTAATTCAGTTTTGGTATTCTTCCAAATATTTTATAAATTATTTTTTCTGAGTAAACAGTGATATTACTTCCATTTGGGAAATAGAGGCTGATGGTTCTCTATGAGTTCAAGGCCAGCCTAGTCTACATCACTACTTCCAGGACAGCCAGGGCTACATAATAAAGCTATATTGTCTCAGACAATAAGAACAGAAAGTATTTACATTATATTATGGCCTTCTTAAGTGACTAAATCATAAAAACAACTTTAACTGGTATTCTAATTCATTTCTGTAAGGATCACTAACTATAAATGAACCATAAATTATAAAAGAATTTATCTTTCTTAATTTAATTTGAAACAGTTTATATTATTTATTGTATTGTATTTTTTTTTTTTTTTTTTAAGACAAAGTCTTACTATGTAACCTTGGCTGGTCCAAAACTTGCTGTGTCCGCCACACTGGCCTTATACTTACAGATATATCTACTCTGTCTCCATGTCCCAGATTTTAAAGCATTCTCCATTGTGCCCAGCTCATTATCTAAATTTTAACCTGAGATAGTGTAAAGTCTGTTTAGGATGCTGATAGCTCTTAGAGCTTAATATGTTTAAATACACAGAAGCCCTTTTCTGAAGTGGTTGCTCTTCTAAGATTTTTCTCCTACATTTATAGATAATTTTTGTTTGACAAGAGTGAGAAATAGGTGAGATTTTGATTGACAGAGAGGTCTTAAAAGAAAAGAACCTTAACTTTTTGAAGGGGTTGAAGTGTATGCTCCTTGACATCTGTGGAAGTCCAGTATATATTTTGAAGTTACATATAGCATGTACTGTATTTGGCAGTAGGACAGAAGAAAAGCCTTATGTGTTGTTTCCTGTGGCAGTCAGAAGTAGCAGGAATAATCCAGTGTCTGTGTGGAATATATTCGATTAAAGGAAAGTGAAATGTGTCTTTATTATTTAAAGAACAGGCTGTCTCTGACCTTTAGATGAACTTAGGAGTACACTGGTGTCCTGTACGATGCAGCGTGTAATGAAGTGCGCCAGCTTCACCCACAGGCCTTGTCCCGTCAAACACTCGCCCGCGCCTTGTTCCCCCTCTGCTCTCATCAGAATCTGTCTGAGTGGAATCTGGGAACTGCTTGATAAACAAGCTCTGAGGATGGGTGCTGTGAACAGTAATGTTCAAGGCAGGCTGAGACTAGAGCCAATAGTTCCTGTGCTGGAGACTGGAATAAGCTTAAGCTGTGTTCTGTGTTTGCAAATGCTAAGGATTTTACTACTGAGAATGAAAGCGGAAAAAAACATTTAACCTAGGAAAAGAGACATTGTTTCTAAAATTAGTTTCAGGTCATCTTTCAGTATTTTATTTGTTTTTAATTCAAAACATTTTGAAATTAAAATATAATTACATAATTTCTCCCTTCCTCTTTTCTCCCCTTTTTAGCTTTTCTCATGTTTCCTCTTTTATCTCCTACTCAAATTCATAGCCTCTTGTTCTTAATAGTTACACGCGTGCGCACATACGCACACGCACACACACACACAGACATGTGTTGAATATATAAATACAAGTTGCTTAGTCCAGTCAGTGTTACTTGTATATGTGATTTCAGGGCTGACCAGTTATTTTTTGAGGCAGAATCTCACTATGTAACCCTGGCCTTGAACTTCCTATGCAGACTAACTGGCCTCAAACCCACATAGATCCACCTGCCTCTATCTTACGAGCCCCCATGTGTAATATATCTTAACAATTATTATAAAAATTTTATGAGTGTTTTCCTGCCGTGTTTATATGTGTGCCATGTATGTGTGTCAGGTTCCCTCAGAGGTCAAAAGAGTTGTCAGATCTTTTAGAACTAGAGTTATAGGTGACTGTGAGCCAGTTTGTGTGTGCTGGGAATTGAACCCAGGGCCCTCTAGAAGAACAGCCTGTATTCTTAACCACTGAGCCACTGAGCCATCTTTCCAGCCCCTCAGACCACCTTTGGATATGTGGCCCATCTAAATATCATCTACAAGATTACATACTTAGGATTTTACTTTTTTTTTAAGTGGGATAATTTTTTTAATATCTCTTCAATCTATATGAGTATTAATGAGATTATGAATTTTATTTGCATCTTGTTAAATCTTAATATTGCATATTGAAAATAGTTACGTAAGTACTAAAAGAAAATGGTATATGGACGATATTTAAAATCACCCTGTAGATCACCAGTTGTTACACACAGTACATTGGACAGTGACTCTTTAATTGTACAGGAGGGAAGGAGAATCATGATCAATTTTTATTTGAGGGGCAGAAAACAATTTATAAAGCAACCTTGCAAATCAGCTGATCTGTACATTTTTACTTTAGTTTTCATAATTCTATGGATGAATCATTTTAAAGGTACTCTTTTTCTTGCTAATGCGTACCTTACCAAGAAAAAAAAAATCCTTAAACCCAACAGCAGTGATCTAAACTTTATAGTGGGGCATAAAACTTTGGCTGCAGAGGCTTGTAGCACACAAGAGAACATTCCTGATGCTGAAATTCTGGTTAACTGAGTAAACATAATCACAGCGCCTCATTAAGGCAAACTGATTAATTTAACTTCCTATGTTTGAATTTAAATATTTTTAGTGAGTCTAATAAGTAATTTGAGTTTGGTTTTATTCCTAAGAAGTCCGATTTCTATTTCTGCTTTCTTTTGTGTGATAGCTGAAGTCTGGGATCAGGAGTTTGACCCGGTCATGGTCATTCTTCGAACAGTGTACCGCCGAGATGTGCAGTCTGCGATGGACAGATACACAGCATTGTAAGTCGGACAGGTTCCATTATAACATGCAGTGTGAAGTCATCAACATATACTTAATCTAAGAGAAAATATCATTTAAAGGTTTCTAAAAAACAATTCAGCTGAGATTTATTTTCTCAGGATCTTTATAAAATTTTGATATTAAGCTGGATGTAGTAAGCCGTCCTGTAATACCAGCACTCCAAAAGGATCTTCAGTTCAAGACCAGCCTAGGTTGTATAATGAGATATTGTCTCAAAACACAAAGCAACAAACAAATAAAATTTAATGTTGACCTGATAAATTTTATGAAACATCATTACTGAAATTAAAAGAAAAACCAAGTTGCTAGTTGATCAATCAAAATTGAAGTTTGATTTTATGTTACTCTATTTGAATCAGTGAAGGAGGCACAGGTGTAAAAATAAAATAGTGTGATATCAGAGATGATAGATATCTACAAAAAGTATGAAAATACTGCTGTTATTGACAGTTGAAAATATTCAAAGCAAAATGAAGTTTACTTATTTATATGTAACAAAATATTTCAAAACATTGATTATAGAAAGAAATTGTTCTTGAGAAAGTCTTTATCCAGATAATATTCAAGTAGCTGTTATCATATATTTATAGATGTTAGGTGTAATTAAAACTTTCTTGTGCCAGGGTTTTTTAAATCCTAGATAAATGTTCACTTTAGCATCCGTCATAGACTCTACTTGGAAAAAAACAAATTTCCCACAAAACAAAATTTCTTAAAACGACAACAACCAAATTCAGCTCAGCTGTCATCATCTTTCTGCCTTTCTCTAGAATCCTGGTGGAAGAGGTAGTTTGAGGCTCTCCTTTCTCTGTTTATGTGGCCACTTCCTTTTGTGTATTTTATGTCCTTTTGTGACAATTTGTTCGCTTGTACATGTTTATTTACTTCTTGTAGCTCCTTGAGATAAGATATTTTTGCTCTCTCTCTTTCTCTCTCACCCCGTTCCTTAACTTCCTCTCTCCCTCCCTCCCTCTCTTCCCTCCTTCCTTCCCTCCATCCTTCCCTCCATCCCTTCCTTCTTTTCTGAGACAGTGTGTCTCTGTAGCCCCAGCTGTTCTGAAACTCATTCTGTAGACCAGGCTAGCCTTGAAATCAGAGGTTCACCTGCCTCTGCCTCCTGAGTGCTGGGACTAAAGATGTGTGCCACCCCCACCTGTCTTCTATGTTTCTTACATATCCTCAGGATTTATGGCAGCTCAATATTATCTCCTAGCAGGAGTTATTTGTTGAATAAGTAAAATTGAATAGTTCATGTTGATAAATTGAAACATGGCAGGCATAGTTGTGCATACCTTTAACCCTATCACTCAGGAGACTGAGGCAGGCAGACGTAGCCAGTTCCAGGACAGCCAGGACTACATAAGGAGATTCTATTTCAAAGAACAACCAAACCAAATCAAAAGAAAAAAGAAAAAAATATCAAGAGATGCAAAATTGAGAGGAGGAAACATTTCTTTGGAAAAAAAAAATCTACAAATTGACTTTATCAACACCTTTTTAAGTTGTTTTGACTTTTTAAGGGTACTTAATATTGAATAAATAAGAAGTAGGTATACAATAAGTTTAATAGTTTCTTTCACTCCCTTTCTCTCTTCCTTGCCCCCTCTCTTTCTCTTTCTCTCTCTCTTTGGTTTTTTGAGACAGATTTTCTCTGTGTATCTGTGGTTGTTCTGGAACTCACTTTGTAGACTAGGCTAGCCTTGAACTCACTGAGATCCGCCTGCCTCTGCCTCCCAAGTGCTGGGACTAAAGGTGTGTGTCATTGCTTTTGGCTTCAATAGTCTCTCTTACTTTGTCCTGGAACTTGCTCTGTAGACCAGGTTGGTCTCTAACTCATAGAGATTCATCCGCCTGTCTCTTCCCAAGTGCTGGGATTAAAGGCATGAGCTACCACTGCCCTGCTTTGTCTATTTTTTAAATAGTCTTTTTTGGGGGTTGTTTATTTAATTTTTAAAAAGATTTATTTCTTTTTATTATATGTGTATGAGTGTTTGCCTATATGTATGTAAGTGTACTTCACGTGTTCTTGGTTTCTTTAGAGACCACAAGAGGGTGCTGTATCTCTTGAAACTGGAGTTATAGGCAATATGGTCATGCCTGGCTTTTATGGGTGCTGAGTGTTCAAACTCAGGTCATCATGCTTGAAGAACAGACTTTTTTGTTTGTTTGTTTGTTTTTAACTGAACTCCATTCCTTAAATTAACTTAGTTCTGAATATGGGTGCGGCCTGACGTGTGCCAGGTGCCTGTATGCTTCTGCCTACAAAGTCATTTTGTTTCTTCCTCTTTTTTTTTTTTTTCTTTTTAAAGACAGTGTTTCCGATAAGTTGGCTTCAAACTCATCAGATAGCTGAGGTTGCTCTTGAACTTTGGATCCTCCTGCTTCCATTCCACAAGTCCTGAAATCACAAGTGTGTTCCTTTGTGCCCAGCTTTATGTGGTACTGAGGGTTGAACAGGGCGTCCTGCGTTATTTAGCAACTTTTTGTAAATGTTGAGTGCACTCTCTACCCATATTATTATGTGCACCTAACTGTTGTGTGTTATGTACCTATTGTTGGTTCAGGCTTATTGAGAGTGTTGTTGAAACTCTTCCCCCCTTCCCCTTGGGCTCCTTGCAACATGGATTTGTCAACTTTTCTATGTAATTCCCTCACATTTTGCCTATTGTGCTTTGAGCCTGCAACTGTTTGTGTGTAAAGATGATAGTTATTGTCTTCCTGGGGTCCTCATGTTCTCTGTTCAAGAAGGTACAGGTAAGCTTCTTCTCACTTCTTGTGAGTTATTCTCCTCATCTAGATGAGAGACTTTTTTTTTTGTCTCAGCAACACAGAGGGGTCGTATTTCCATGTCTGGGCCTGTGAGTCCAATACCTTTAAACAGCGCAGTAGACATACTGCTCAAAGTTTTGTTAAACGGCATTTGTTTAGTGTGTGCACATGCGTGAACATGCACACGTGTGGTTGTGTGGAGCTCAGCGGTGGCCAGTTCTCTTTTCTGCCATGTGGGGCCAGCAGATTGAACGGAGAGCACTAGGCTTGGCGAGCCATCTCAACAGCCCTCAGGGATTTAAGACCATTTCCACAGTGTTACTGTCTGTTGGTAACCTTTTTTTTCCTAATGGCCCTGGCACTCTACTTGCTTGCTTAGAGCTCCATGGGGTCTGAAAGCTGTGCTTTTATCCATTCTGCTTTCCAGCCCTTAGCAGTGTGGACATTTTCTGATTACAGGAGTTAGAAGAGAAAATTACTTTGCTGAATATTATGTATTCTTTTTGTTCATTTCTTCTTGTTAGTTTTTTTTTATGTTCCTATTTCTAGTTTTAAGCCTAGCTTTTTTGACCAATTTTTCTCTAATAGTAAAGGAAAAGCAATGTGTACTGTGTAGTAAAAAAATATCTTTTTGGCCTTTTAAAGCATTTGTAATTAATTGGTAATGTGTGGAAAAACATGATAGAATCAATGCTTGCAAATCACTGTTTAAACCATAGTTAAAATTTGAGTCTATCATGAAATTTTGATTTTATTTTTACAGTTTAAAACAGAGTGGAAAATTCCCTGGCAATCCCTGGCCTCCTTATAAGAAAAGAACGTCACTCCACCCCAGCTATAAAGGTCTCATGAGACTTCTGCACTGTAAAACTTTACACATCGTGCTGTTTACTCTGCTTTACAAGGTAGAGTACCACTTTGATTAGAATGACATAGATTATAATTTATTTTAATAATTTTCAAGTCAAAATGCTAAATGACAACATTTATATGAAGGTACCACTTACAAAGAAAAGTATGTTTAGAAAATTTTTAATATGTGAGAACAAATTATAATCATATTATTTGAATTCCAAATTAGAAATTATGAAGTAGTTATACTTCTCTGTGGAGAAATGTTTGTTTTTGTCATCTTCAGACAAATACTTCAGCCTGGATATTTGTTATGGCTTCTGTAGAATGAGAAGTATTGTGGCTGAAGGAATTATGCAGTACGCTAAGGGACCAAAGAACCACTGTTTTGTTAAGCAGTGAACCCTGCTGCTTGACAAAACTAAATGACACTACGTGAACCAGTGGCTACTTTAGAGTGCTTTATCTGCTTTTTATTCTTGTTAGGAACTTGACAGAGAATGATTTGTGTGTGGGTGTTTTAGAAATGTGAGGCATCTGTTTACCTAGAATTTGTTTCATTTGGGCATGTTCTCTCTCAAAACTGACTTGCCTCATTGTGTCCTAAAAGTTTCATGAAGAATATATGTAACAGATGTATATACTCCAGCATTTTTAATAATTTAATTTGAGTAAGAGATGAAAGATAAGGCAATGAAAAAGATATGATGATAAAAAGAGAGAAAGATGAAAGATAATATATCTATAGTATATTGCTTAAATAGACATCTATAGAATAATAGGCATAAATGTTATATAATTAGAAATAAAGAACACCTATCCTTTTTTGTTTGAAAAACTAAAGAAAACTAAGCATATTCTGTATACAGATCTTCATTGACTATACAGATAGTTTTAATTATTTAAGAAAGCATGCATTAATTACCTAAGTAGAACTCTTAGTGCTAGTGTTTACCAAATAATAAAACAGTGCATTTAGATTTCTATGCACCCAGCATCACTTATGGCCATTTTTTTCATTTTACTTCTAAAAGCTAGAAGTTATTTTTGGCTAAGATTTTAGATCAGTGCCTTTGAAAAGTGCCTTAAAAGGTTCATTTTTATCATTTATCAAAAGGATTATTCAGAAAAAAATGATTTGTAGTATTCTTTTCTCCATTAAAGTATATAGAATAAATACTCCTCTATATTGGAAAGCAGTTTGTGTTGATTTTGTAGGCAAATGTGGTTTGTAGGACTCCCCAGAGTCAGGCTGCCTTCTGTTACTGAGCGTATACCACAGCTACTGTAGCGCATCAGTAGATTCTTGTTCTTCTCAGTTTTTGATGTGATAACAGAGTTTTAGAGGGTAGATAACTAGTTGACATGATCAATAGTAATTAATAATTCATGATAAATGAATGAAGTAAGCCTTACCGAGACTCTCATTGACATTACCTTTTCAGCTTTTAGAATTTGCTCAATCTAGAAGTTTTATCAGGGTTGAAAGAGTTGTTTTAAGACTTTTGAGCAATCTTTTGAGATCTCAAATTTGTGTATAAGCTGTTGTACTCTAATTGCCAAGCACTGACAAAAAGTCACTTGCAGCAAGCCATTGTCATTCCTTGCTATGTGTGATACTAAAGAACGTGGTGACACTTTCCAGAAAATGGCTTCATTTCTTTTTCTTTCCTTTTTTTTTTTTTTTTGTTCAGGATTTTTAGCTTTTATTTTTCTTAGTTAAATCTGTAATGTTGTTGGATTTGAATTTGAATTGGATTTCAATTAAAAGTCTCTTTGGATTTCGATAGTAGTGCTTTCTTTATGGAGAGGACACAGAATTGCAGGCATTGCCTGGTACAGTGCTGCTTAGACACTGTGTGAGCCTTGCTGGGTTAGAAAGGATGACGATGACCTCTGGAGCTCCTGCCTTCAGGCTCCTCCTTGGGATCCCTCGGATCTTTACACTCTTGGCACTACCTGCCTACTGTTTGCTGGACACATTGCTAGGCACTGTTCTAAGGAAATGACAGATACAAAGTGAAGCCAGTCTCACATAATTCTGGACTTTTTTTTCACCTTTAGATATGGGAAAGCTAAGGCCAAAGGTTGTTGCTGCAGAGCAGGTAGATATAAACAGAGCCTGTTAAGAGTGAAGTTTTACAAGAGAAAGTGAGGTCACCCTCCTAGCTGTCAAATAGTAGGAAATCAGTCAGTGGACATCTCTATTCTTTAGTTACAAAGAATTCGGTTTTTTCCTCATCCCCTTATTTGCACTGTTCCCGTGAGGCTCAGTTTAGCTTACCTATCTTTGTCAGTCCTTTATCAGCCCCAAAGCTGACAGGGCCATCTCTTGCTGAACCCCTTCTTCTATCCCTTCCCCATTGGTCTCATGCCTTTTTATAGTGAGGACAGCTGCAGTGCCACCTCATTCCTGTAGCAGTTTAGGCATCTTCCACCCACTGGCCCATTGCAGCCTTGAAATCCAGTGAGATGAGAGGGCTTAAGGTATATAATACATGTATAAAGTGAGGTTCGTAGCATTTTCCTTTTTCCTTTTGATGTAAACCACACATTGGCTTGCATATTTACATGGATACACACAACATTTAGAATACCAGAACTTTAAAGACAGAGTCAATAAACACTAATGTTTAATATTGCATTCCAGCCGTTAGCCAACTGCAGCTGCATTTAAATGAGAGACCTTGCTAGCTAACTCATTTATTTGCTGCCTTGTCTTCAGGAGAGTACCAGAAGACAAGAATGTAAAGTATCCTTTGTAAATTGTTTATTAAAGACTGGTATATTTCTATTATTGACGCGTGGCCTGTTCAATGTGGCACTTTTAGGAAGTCTCAGACTGCTAGTTCCTGCTCCTGCACATTTCTGTAACGGAGCTGGAAATATAGCTTAGTGGTTAAGAGCCCAGCATGTTCTTACTGAGGACCTGAGTTCAGTTTCCAGCAACCTTATTGTACAGCTAGTAACTGCCTGTAACTCCAGCCTTGGGGAGTTCAATAGATGACTCTGGCCGATGAGAATGTCTACAGTCATGTGCACATAAACCCTATACACATACGTAAATCTAACAGAAGTTCTATATAATCTTCAGAGGAAACCTAGTGTCTGTTTCAGTTTGTGTTTTCATTAAGATTTGCATTTACATGCTGATTTATATATCTGATAATTTTCTGATTATAGTTTTTTGTTTGTAATAAAGTGTTTTTGGATATTAATTGAAATACATTTTGTGAAAAAACTCTGGGGTATTTTCTTTTTGAAGATTCTGATGGATCATCAAAACCTGTCTGAACATGTGCTCTGCATGGTGTTGTATCTGATCGAGTTAGGCCTTGAAAACGCTGCCGAGGATGATTCTGCGGAAGAGGTGAGCTCTGCCTCTGTCTTGGAACATTTAGGAGGAAGCGGACCCTGTTGAGGCTGTTGTTTCAAAGAAGTATGTTTATACTTTTTTTTTTTTTTTTTTTGAGATAGGGTTTCTCTGTGTAGCCTTGGCTGTACTGAAGCTCACTCTGTAGTCCAGGCTGGCCTCAAACTCAGAGATCTACCTTCTTCTGCCTCCTGAGTCCTGGAATTAAAGGCACGCACCACCACTGTTTGTGTGTATGCCTACATGTTTATCTGAGCATTACTTACATGCAGTGTCTGTGGAGGCCAGAAGAGGGCATCAGATTGCCTGGAACTAGAGTTACAGATGTTTGTCAGCTGCCATGTGAATGCTGGGAACTGAACCTGAGTCCTCTGGGTGCTGTTAACCACTGAGCTATCTCTCCCGCCCCTGGTTTTGGATTCTTAATTGTGAGAGCTGAAGAACTGGTGAGAAGGTCCTGTTTACTCACTTCGTTAGTGTGTGGATGTGCACCATGACGCACATGTGCAGGCGGAGAACAGCTTGCAGGCATTGGGGCTCCCTTCTACCGTATGGGACCTGGGGCTTTAACTCATGTTGTAAGGCTGGCAGCCAGGGTGTCAGCTAAGCCAACTCACTGGCCTAAAAAGACTTTATTCTTAAAACGCATATGGTCCTTTGAGGCTTTCCTTGTCACTTGTGGAATTACTGAAATAGAACATTTATTGTTCAAATGAAAAAAGAAAGCTGTTTATGTATTTTTGGTGTTATGGTGAGAACACCAATTATGGCTTCTAGTGTGTGTGTGCTCCCATGTGTGTTTGCATATTCATTCATCTACTCATCCATCTCTCTCTCTCTCTCTCTATCTGTTTATGTCTTAGGTATCAATGGGTGGACCAGAACGTTGTCATGACAGTTGGTTCCCTGGCAGCAACTTGGTATCAAACATGCGACACTTTATAAATTATGTTAGAGTACGAGTCCCGGAGACTGCTCCTGAGTTGAAAAGGGATTCGCTTGCCAGCACGAGCTCTGATGGTTTAGGCTCTTTACAGGTAAGTTTAACAGTGAGGGAGATGAAAAGGGAGCAGTGTACATTATGCTGAGAGATTGCTTAGATAACTTACGACATTCAGAAGAAAGCATGGTTAGAGGAGCTTTAAATTGTTGTTTATTTCCTGGTATGTCTGAGCACTGTTGCCTTAACCAGTCTTTTTCCTTCAACCTGCTAGAATTCCCGACGGCCTAAAGTTCTTCAAAGAGAGGTAGATGTGTATGGTATTTGCATTAACTAGCAACATAGCTAATTGGAAATGAGGAAATAAAAAACCACTGAAGTATTTGTGTGTGTATGTGTGTGATTAATATGATTAAAATTAAAATATTTCTTTCATTTAGTATGTGTTACTTTTAACAGTTATTTATATTTAATTTTAAATAAATTTATGTTACTGATCAAAAAATGTAGAGTGGTTAGCATTAAATTTTCTTTTTAAGTGTTAAAAGTATTCTGGACCTGTTATAGGTGGCCCACTTGGATCTGCTTACATTTAGCATTACAGTTTTACTAACATTTTAAAAATGACTTGACTATTTCCTAAATCAGAATAAATGTAATTGCTGGTAGCATGCCCATTAAAAATTTTTTTCTTTTGCTTCTGTGCCAATTAACTGATGAAACAGACCCATAAATACTTGTATTTTGGAACTTACTCTGAAAAGCAGCTCTTTGCATGATGCTTAATTAATCTTTAAAAATAAAATGGGAAGTGGGGCTGGAGAGAAGGCTAAGCAGTCAAGAGCACTGGCGTCCCTTCCAGGGAAACCTGAGTTCAGTTCCCAGCACCCACTTGGTGGCTCAGAAGTGCTGTTTACTCTGGTCCCCAGTGCAGGCAGGCACATGATGCACAGGTGTGCGTGTGGCCAAAACACCCACATGCCAAATAATTAAGCAGTTTATTTCCTATAAACTAGGTATCATGTGCATCAAGAGAGCTGAATTAGATATTTCAAGTCAAGTCTATTTGTTAGCATATTCCTTGGTTTTGACCACACTCTTTTTGTTGTGAACACTGTTTAGGATTTTAGTTAAACACTTGGAGTCTCTATGAGAAGCTCTTTTGTTTCTGATGTTTCAGACTACTTTAAAACCTTGAATGTTTATATATATATATATATATATATATATATATATATATATTGTAATTTGACTTATAGAAGCATACTTATGTTCATTTTAAAAGGACTGAAATCCATTAAACTGATTTATATCTTAAATAAAGATGATTTCTAAGAAGCTTGATTTGTTTCCTCTAGCAAAAAGGCTGTTTAGAAGACAAATTATTGAGAAGAACATTTGACCAAAAAAGTCAATTCAGAGAGCACACGGTGATGTGCAGTGTGAAGCAGATTAATTTCGTCTGTACATTTTATCCTCACATTTCATTTCATTTCAAGTCTTTGTAAGGAACTTTGAAATTCCTTAAAAGTGAAGTTAATTTTCACTATGGATTTACTATCTTGAAAAACTGAAGAAAAATTAAATTTTTTGTCTATGTGGACACTGTAGCAGGCTTCCAGAAGTTAGTAAAGAATATATGTAGTTTCTTGATCAGGGGCGGAGAAGCTTAGTTTATGTTTTGTTTGTTTGTTTGTTTGTTTTGTTTTGTTTTATAATATGGCTGCAGGTATAGCATAAGCTTTGTCTGTTTTCTGTGGAACATATGCTCAGGTAGTTACGGGGGCAGGGTTACTGCTGGTGACCTCCTTTTCCTCACTGCTGTCCCTGTAAAGTCGTCCTGTGTCTCTTTGATAAAGAAGTGAAGGAAATGGGTTAATCTGCTGGAGAGACCTTTGGAAAAATATAGTGATATTTTTAGAACCGGTATTGAGTAACTTCTTTATATTTCTGTCTTTCTTATTTTTACTGGTAGAATTCTGGCACCGCTCAAGTTTTCAGCTTAGTAGCAGAGCGTAGAAAAAAGTTCCAGGAGATCATCAATCGAAGCAACAGTGAAGCAAATCAGGTGGTTCGACCCAAAACTCCAAGTAAATGGTCAGCTCCTGGTTCAGCTCCCCAGTTGACTACAGCCATTTTGGAAATTAAAGAAAGCATATTGTCTTTGCTAATAAAACTTCACCACAAACTCTCAGGAAAACAAAACTCTTACTATCCACCGTGGCTTGATGACATAGAAGTTTTAATACAACCAGAAATTCCTAAATACAGTCATGGGGATGGTGTAACTGCTGTAGAAAGAATATTGCTAAAAGCAGCAGTACAAAGCAGAATGAACAAGCGCATTATTGAAGAGATATGCAGAAAAGTGACCCCTCCCGTGCCCCCCAAAAAAGTCACTGCAGCAGAAAAGAAAGCTCTGGACAAGGAGGAGAGGTATCTTTATTTTCAATGTTTTTAAATATTGATGGAACAGCTGATGGTTTGGGGTTTTGTCTTTTTTGGTCATTCAGGGCTAATGACCTGGTTCTCTGAGTTATGAGAGTTGGGGCTGTTTACTCTGTGAGGGATTGAACATAGTCAGTGCTTGTGTGTGTGTGTGTGTGTGTGTGTGCGCGCGCGCGCACGCGAGTGCGCGTGTGCGCTGAGCACTATGTGAGTAAAGGGTTGACCATAGTCAGTGCTTGTGTGTGTCCTGAGCACTTTTTGGGTAAAGAATTAAACATAGTGCGTGTGAGTGTATGCTGAGCACTTTGTGGGTAAAAAGAGTATTGCTAACCCCAGTGTGAAATTACCGTTGGAAGTTGGAGTGTCTTCAGAAACATTGCTAGTACCTTACTGATCTGGTGCATAAGAATTCTCTTAAGTTTAACTTAACTTTAAATAAAACTATAATTATTTTAGATATTTCTTTTAAAAGCTTTTTAGTTATTGTGTGTGTGCGGCATGTGTGCTTGTGTGCGTGTCATCACATACGCTGTGATATACGTGTAGAGGTCAAAGGACCGCTTTTGGATGTCTGTTCTTTCTTTCTAGCTTGTGATCCTGAGGATTGAACTCAGGTCATCAGATCTCTCTCTCTCTATACCTCAAGGCCACTTCACAGGGAATGGTGGTACCCACAGTGGGCTGGACCACCTGCATCAGTTAACCATCAAGATAATTCCCTGCAAACATGGCAACAGGCCAGTCTTCAGTCTTTTCTGGGCAGTCTGTCAACTGAGGCTTCCTGGTCAGGTGACTCTAGGCTCTGTGAAGTTGATAATTGAAACTGACTAGTACAAGTGGCATTAGAGAAGATGTAAGAGGCCAGACAGGAAAAACTAACACAATTGTTTAGTGTTGTGAGTTCAGATAAGTTTGTCACTCTTATGTAATTTGCTAGTTAGGAAGGAGATCATCCTGTGATGATTGTATGAGAAGCCCCTTAATGGCTTATATAGTTGTACTTCATCACTGATGTAAGAAAAATTGTTTTTAGAGACAAAGAAAAGTAGACGGGCTGGGGAGGTGGCAGAGTGGGTAAGGCACTTACTTCCTGTGCAAGCATGAGAGCTCAGTGCCCAGCACATGTGTCAGAAAGCTGGGCTGGCTGTGCCTGCCTGTGGGCCCCTTGGAGCTCACTGGCCAGGGTATCTAGCTGAACCATTGAGCTTCTGCTTTGGTGAGTGATCCATTCTCAAGGAAAAAAGGTGAAGGTAATAGAGCAAGTCCCCCATTCTTCCACTCATACCTGTATGCATGTGTACACACCAGAAACACACAAACCACAAAACACTCACAAAAGGATAAAATAGAATAATAATTAGTAGCATGTCCAAAAAAGAGGGAGGAAAGGGTTTATTTGGCCTACATTTCCATATTTGTATTCATCATTGAAGGAAGTCAGGACAGGAACTCAGACATGTCATGAGCCTGAAAGCAAGAGCTGATGCAGAAGCCATGGAGGGGGTCTGCTTACTGGCTTGCTTCCTGTGGCTTGCTCAGATGTTGTTGATCATTAATATTTATCATTGATTTATCTTTTAGTTAAACAATGGTTATTCCTAAAACAGCTGTATACCCGAATCACCACACAGAGACTAGGATGTATTTAGTTAACCTAGAGCACAGTGCTGGGTACTGATTACTCCATCCTCAACCTCCAAGCCCACATAGCTTCCTACCATTTAGATTTTACCCATTAGCTTGCTTTTAGTCCTATCTTAGGTCCGGTTCATCTCTCCTTGTGGTTCAAAGTCCTGTCCTGCCAACTCTCTCTCTGATTTCCCCCACTTGTTTCCTTCTCCTCCCCTCTGGACCAGGATGTCCCACCCTATTATCTCCATTGCACAGCATTGGCTGGTTGCTTAATTGAAATTACATAGCCAAAAAAAAAAAAAAAAAAAAGTACATAGCCAAACTTTGGGCAGAGTGAATGGAATCTTATGAAAGAAGGGGGAGACAGAAAGACCTGGAGGGGACAGGAGCTCCACAAGAAGAGCAACCGAACCAAAAAATCTGGGCCTAAGGGTCTTTTCCGAGACTGATATTCCATCCAAGGACCCTTCATGGAAATAACCTAGACTCCATGCACAGAGCTGTCCATGGCAGCTCAGTCTCCAAATGGGCTTCCTAGTAAGGAGGACAGGGACTGTCTCTGACATGAACTCAGTGGCTGGCTCTTTGATCATCTCCCCCTGAGGAGGAGCAGCCTTACCAGGCCACAGAGCAAGACTGTGAAAGACAGTCCTGAGGAGACCTGATAGGCTAGAGTCAGATAGAAGGAGAGGAGGTCCTCCACTATCAGTGGACTGGGGGAGGGGCATGGGAGGAGAAGAGGGAGGGAAGGAGGGCAGGATTGGGAGGTGGTGAGGGTGGGGCTACAGCTGGGATACAAAGTGAATAAATTGTAATAAATAAATTATATAAAAAAAGAAAAAATACAGAAAACAAATGGTGGCATGTTTACACAAACTTGAGACAGGTGGTGCTTAGAATAAACATCACAATGCAATGTCTGGATTGAAACCAGATAGTAGAGTAGAGAAATAAGCATTTGAATGAACAAGGGTAAATTGTAAACATTCCACAAGAGCATTATACCAACACACAGCCTGCTTTCTTATAGACGCGAGGACATTGTTTTACTGTTTGTTTTGTATCACAGCTTTATCAATTTTGTTTATGTTCATGCAAACTTAAACAGTTGTGTCTTGACTAACAAACAACTTACGTTTTTAACCTTTTTCTTCCTCTTTGTCCTCCATAAAATATTTTAACATTTCTTCATAGAAGTGCAATTTTATGGTGGTAGTACTGTTTATATAATACAGTCAGGGGAAGCCCATGTCTTTTCAAGTCTACTTTTATTTTTGTATTTATATGTATTACTGATTTATTTTTTATTGCTTTATTCGCAGAAGTAGATAAGGGATAAATGCTAAAAGAACAATGAATTAATTCAAAGGAATACTTATATTTAGAATATTTTTATTTTTTGCTAACTTCAGGACTCACATCTTTTAATTTGTACAAAATAATCTAACCTAGAAATGCTCCTAGAAGAACAGGAGAGAGATTCATTGGCTTCTGTTCCTACTATTAGGAGACAGCTAGACCTAGGGTATCAAGAAATTGGTTATTTCTGTCATTTTAGATTTTCTTTGATGTAAATATCATGGACCTTTATGGAACCTGTTTATTGTCCCTTGCTGACAGGCATTTCTTTCTTTTGTTGCCTTCTGATGTATAGATTGCCTTTGGACATTATATTGTTGGAAATCCAGATTCCCCCCCCCCCCCTTCTTTTATGGACAGGTTCTTTTCTCATTCAGTATAGTTTCCTCTACCTCTACTCCTCCTACTTCTTCCCCATCTTTCCTTTTGGAATCACTTCCTTTCTGTCTCTCATTAGAAAAGAACAGGTTTGTAGCCCTGGTGGTGCATGCCTGTCATCCCAGCATTCAGGGAGGCAGAGGCAGGTGGATTCTGTGAGTTCAAGGCTAGCCTGTTCTACAAAGTGAGTTCAGGACAGCCAATGCTACACAGAGAAACCCTGTCTCAAAAAAACCAAACCAAAATAAACAAACAAAAATTAAAACCAAAACCAAACAGGTTTTGCTGGGTGGCAGCACACACCTTTAATCCCAGCACTCGGGAGGCAGGGGCAGCAGGATCTGGATGTGAGTTCCAGGTCAGCCTCACACACAGATGAGGCCCGGACAGCCAACTGTTACATAGAGAAACCCTGTTTCAAAAAACTGACCAGCCAACAAACAAACAAAAAAGGAAGAAAGAAGAAGAGATAACAACCAAACGTGACAAAATAAAATATAATAATATTTTAAATATTATAAGATGAAACAAAAATTATCATATCGAGGTTGGGCATGGCTTACTAACAAGAGTCCCAAGAAACAGGCATAAGAGTCAGAGACCTGCTTGATCTCAGTCAGGAGTCTTATAAAAATGCTCAGCTAAGAGCTATAATATATATGCAGAGGACCTGGTGCAAACTAGTGTAGACTTTGTGCTTTCTGCTTTGGTCTCTGATAAGTTTATTTGTGCCTTGCTCCGTTGATTCAGAGGGCTGTATTCTTCTGGTGCCTTCCATCCCCATTGGCTCTTACAGTGCTTCTGCCACCTCTTCTGAGGGAGTCCCTGAGCTCTGAGGGAAGGGATTTGACAGAGACCTCCAATTTAGACTCTCTCTCTTCATATAATATCTGGCAGTGGGCCTCTGCATCTGTTCTCCTCTTCTGCTGGAAGAAGCTTCTCTGATGATGACTGGATAAGACACTTGTCCAGAATATCATTAGGAATCTCTTTAGTGTGTGTGTGTTTGTGTGTGTGTGTGTGTTTAAGACCAGTTGTGTTTGGTTTTACCCTAGGTCTCTGGGTTATCTAGTCTCTGGTTCGTGGTTACTCAAACAGTGTTGGGTGTGGGTTCCTTCTCATGAAATGGACCTTAGATCAAATCAGACCTTAGTTGCCTACTCCCACATGTCCTGTGCCATCGTTGCCCTAGCCTGTTTTGCAGGCAGGACAGACTGTTGGTCAGAGGTTTTGTGGCTGGATTGATGTACACATTTGTCTTTCAGTAGCCTGCATAGTACCTTCCTGCACCAAAGAGACTAGACTGTGTTGGTGAGGTCTGTATGTAGATGCCAGTTCTACTTCTCCAAGAGTTCGATGAGTCGTGTCATTGTTGGCCCCGTGGTCAGTTTGTGGAGAGCAGCCTTTCGTTATTTGGGGATTTTGATTGACCCCCCTTGGCCAACAACTCTATTGAACGTGGAAGCCTCACATGGCTACAAAGATGGCCAGTTGAGACTGTATTCCATATTTTAGGAGTCCTCTTTAGGATCACCTTCATAGATTCCAAGAAGTTTTCACTGCACTAGGTTTCCATACCACTCCCAAAAGTCTCCCTAATTCCAGACATCTCTCCCTGCACTTTCTCCCTCCATCCCCCAATGTGCTCCCTACTCTGTGCTTTTGTCCCCACCCATCCCCGATGTGCCCATAGAATCTATTCTATTTCCCCTTTCCAGGGAGATACCTGTGTTTTCTCCTAGACCCCTCCTCTCTACCTAACCTTTCTGGGTCTATGAATTGTAGCTATATTACTGTTTAATTAATGGCTAATATCCACTTATAAGTGAATACATACTTTATTTTTCTGGGTCTCAGTTACCTCATTCAGGATGATTCTTTTCTAGTTCTACTCATTCGCCTGCAAATTTCATGATGTCATTATTTTTAAACAGCTGCATATTGCTCCATTATGTAAATGTACCATGTGTTCTTAATCCATTCTTTTGCTGAGGGATGTCTAGGTTGTTTTCAGTTTCCGGCTATTATGAAAAAGCTACTATGAACATGGTTGAATAAGTATCCTTGTGGTAGGATGTTGGAGTGTCTTGTGTGCATAGGCCCAAGAATGGTATAGCTGGGTCTTGAGCTCATTTGATTTCCAACTTTGTGAGGAGCTGCCCTATTGGTTTCCATAGTACCTGTACAAGTTTGCACTCCCACCAGCAATGGTGGAGTGTTCCCCTTGTTCCACATCCTTGCCAGCATGGCTTGTTACTGTTATTTGCATTTCCCTGATGGCTAAGGGTGTTGGATATTTCTTTAAGTGTTTCTCAGCCATTTGAGATTCCTCTATTTAGAATTTTTTATTTAGATCCTTTTCCCATTTTTAAACTGGATTATTTGAATTTTTTGATATCAAGTTTCTTGAGTTCTTTATATATTTTAGATATTCGCCCACTGTTGGATGTAGGGTTGGTGAAGATCTTTTCCCAATCTGTAGGCTGCTGTTTTGTCCTATTGATGCCATTTGCCTTACAGAGGCATTTCAGTTTTATGATGTCCCATTTATTAATTGTTGATTTTAGTGCCTGCATTATTGATGTTCAATTGAGAAAGTCATTTCCTGTACCAATGTGTTCAAGTCTATTCTCTCTTTTCTATTATAGTTAGTGTATCTGGTTTTATGTTGAGGTCTTTGATCCACTTGGACTTGAGTTTTGTGCAGGGTGATAAATATGGATCTATTTTCAATTTCTGCATGCAGACATCCAGTTTTACTAGCACCATTTGTTGAAGATGCTTTCTATTTTCCATTGTATGGTTTTGGCTTCTTTGTCAAAAATCAAGTGCCAATAGGAGTGTGGGTTTATTTTTGGGTCTTCAGTTCGATTGCATTGATCAACCAGTGTTGATTACTGGTTTTTATTACTATTGCTCTGTAGTAAAGCTTAAAATCAGGGATGGGGATACCTCCAGAAGTTCTTTTACTCTGGGTTTTTTTATTTTTTCATATGAAGTTGAGAATTGTTTTTTCAAGGTCTGTAAAGAATTGTGTTGGAATTTTGATGGGATTACTTTGAATCCATAGATTGCTTTTGGTAGAATGGCCATTTTTTTTATTATGTTAATCCTATTAATCAGTGAGCATGGAAGATCTTTCCACCTTCTGTTATCTTCTTCAACTCCTTTCTTCAAAGACTTGAAGTTTTTATGGTATAAGTCTTTTACATGCTTGGTTAGACTTACCCCAAAATATTTTATATAATTTGAGGCTATTATAAAAGGTGTTTTCCCCCTGATTTCTTTCTCAAGTTGTTTGTCGTTTATATATAGTAGGGCTTCTGTTTTTGTTTTTTGTTTTTGTGTGTGTGTGTGTGTTAATTGTGTATCCAGCCACTTTGCTGAAAGTGTTTTTTAGCTTTAGGAATTCCTTGGTGTAATTTTTAGGATTTTCTATCTACCTCATCTACATACTCTGAAGTAAATATTGACTTTTATTTTTACTTATAGAAACAGTAGGTTTTCAGTCTCTTGGAGGGGATAGAGAAATTTGTATGAATTTTAATATGTAATCTAGGAAGCAGATTGTTCTTGATTTTGTAGCCATGCATATGTCATATACTCCTGAAAGACATTAGATTAGTTTTGAACACATCATGTACTTAACGTTTATTTCTCTTTAGGCGACAAAAGGCTAGAGAACGGCAGCAGAAATTGCTTGCAGAGTTTGCCTCACGACAGAAAAGCTTTATGGAAACCGCAATGGATGTTGGTAAGTCAAAAATTTTGGTTTGAAATTCTTACAATTAGTTATTATTTATAGGGATCATTTAGTCTAAACTTTTACCAGCCCTAAACAGTACAGATAATTTTCTGTCTCTCTTTAAACAGTAGAATAATGGAATGATGAGATTAGTGGTTTAGTAATTGTGTGTACACATGGGTACAGGCGTGCCCATGCCACAGCATGTGTGCAGGTCATAGGACAGCTTTGTCAGTTGTTTCTCTCCTTGTACCATGTGGGTTCTGGAGATGGAGCTCAGGTTGTCAGGCTTGGGGCAGTGTCCTCACCCACGGAACCGTATTGCCTGCCTGGGACTAGGTATTTATTACAGCTGCCTTGTTGAGCAGAGGCAGGTATGAGGAAGAGCCCCTCTGTTCTCTGTGACTCTGTCCCTCACATGTGTTAGGTCTGGCACAAGTCCCTGATGTTGTATTCTGATGCTCTTCTCTGAAGGTACCCTAAGGTCCTTATAATGATTTGGAAAATACTTTTGAATGTCTCCTCTTTGTGCCTTCTCATTAGGATTTCTAAAAATCAAGTATACCTTTTAGTTCAATTCAGATTGGCATTAGGATTTTTATAATGAGAAGGAATACCATTTTCTATGTGATAGTAGAGCCATGAACAGTCTAAAACAATGTGTTTATACCTTTCCTTCCCCATCCCATTTCCTTCCCCTATAATAGTTCCTCTGTTATATTCCCTTATAATATATTTCCTTTATAGTTCCTCACTACTTTTAGATTATCATCTTTTAAGTTTACTGTTTTCTGCATATATGAGAAAGTATCTGATACTTATCTTTTTATATATGCTGGTGTGTCTTGTTAATGTCTTATTGGTACATTACAAGATCGCCTATTTTCTGTAATAGCTCTGCTTTATTAAGATATAATATAAGGATATATAATGATTTCCTGATATAAATCTTGATGACTGTTACTTGAGAGATATTCTTGAAATAGAGGATTAGGAACCAGTTTTTCCTCTATTATTTCCTAGGATATACTTCTACCAACTTTTGAAGAGCTGTCATTTTATAAATTTCCTCTTTTTAGAACCTCAAAGTAAATTAGAACAAATGCCCTATTCCTTAAAATGCAATTAAAAATTTTCTCTTACACATTTTAAAGAAGATTTTAAACATTTATGTCTATGAGTGCTCTATTTGTATGTATGCCTGCAGGCCAGAAGAGGGCATCCGATCCCATTGTAGATGGTTATGAGCCACCATATGGTTGCTGGGAGTTGAACCATGGTCTTCTAGAAGAATAGCCAGGGCTCTTAACCTCTGAGCATTTCTTGAGTTCCTTACACAGATGTTTTTACTTCTGTTTTTTAATATCAGTTTTTATCTATAATTGATACAACATCAAAATATTGAATCATTTATTACTTAGAATTGTTTTTATCAGCTTCACAGTTTTAGTCTGTCTTGTAGCTGACATTTTACTTGAACAGGCTCTCAGGAGTTGTGTGATGATACAGCTTTGTTAGTGTTTAACTTAAAAAGTTTTTGAAGTAGATCTTTGGGGGAGGTTTATTAAAAAGGGACTTTTCTTTTAAGAGTTACAGTTTTCCCCCTCCAGATTCTCCTGAGAACGATATTCCCATGGAAATTGCCACAGCAGAACCACAAGTTTCTGAGGCTGTGTATGACTGTGTTATTTGTGGACAGAGCGGTCCTTCTTCTGAAGATAGACCTACAGGACTGGTTGTACTGTTACAAGCATCGTCAGGTGAATTGAGAGACACATTTTGTTAGAAACGGTTTAGACAGTGGCATCGATAAAGATAACTGTATAGTAAATGAAAGCTAATATTAGAATTCAATGTTTTTGCTGATTTAACTGTTCTAAAATCCTACCAACTTGGTAGGATATGTGCTTACATGCAAAGAACTTTGAGTTGTATATGTAATTAGGGGTGTATGGTTGATGCCTATAATCTCAGCACTCGGGAGTTATGGAGGCAGGAAGATCAGAATCCTTGTCAACAAAGAAAAGTGCAGGATGGTGAATTCTGTTGATTAATGCCAAGCTTTCTAAAATGTCCAAAATACAGAAGAAGGAACATTTTCAAAAATACCATATAAGGCTAGTATGCCCTTGATATGCAAGTACTAGAATGCATTACCAAGTGTAGATGCAAAGCCTTCATCAAAATTCTAGCAATGAATTTAGTAGTGTATTAAGAGGACTGTACATTGTGTTGTTTTAGTTGTGGGCATCCCCTTGCTTCTCTGCTTTATTTCCATAGCTGCTCTAAATCTCCCCAAAAGCCAGCTGTACAATGATACACCTTAGGTTCTCATCCTCATGAGCTCTTCCCAAGCAAATGCATTTTCAAAAAAGTCATTTCTGTTTCAGTGATACATTAAAGACAAACATACACCTATTGTGGTACAGTGGTCTTTTGGAACATCTATGTCCTGTGTGATATTTGTGTCTGTGTTTGTAGTCCTTATTTTGGTTTTTGATGTTTTATACTTATAGAACTGTAACATTACTCTTTTTTCTTCTGTCATATTTATGTCTATCTTCCCAAATTTTTTTACAACATTTTGTGTCTTGAGAAAATTGAATACCTTCTACCTGCTTCCTGTCCAGATTGCTACATTCAATACTTTGTGCACCAGAAAACATGCTTACAAAGCATGTGAGCACACACATCCTTTCCAGAAGAAAACCAGGGACATTCTGTTTAATAATAGCAGCACTACTATCATAATCAGAAAATTTAATATTAATATTGTGTGTTATGGTTATATTCAAAGTCCCCCAGTTATCTAAATTTTGTTGTTGTTGTTTTGTTTTTCAAGATGAAGTTTCTCTTTATAACAGCCCTGGCTATCGTGGGTCTCACTTTGTAGCCCTGACTGGCCCAGAACTCAAAAATTCTCTTGCCTCTATCTCTCAAGTGCTGGGATTAAAGGAATGTGCCACCAAGCTTCAATATTGTTTTAAAGGGTGAATTCTGTCATATTTGGTCTTTTATTTACTTGACAGATAATACTCTTATATTTTTAATTTTTTTAAGATAGAGTCTCTTTACATAGCCCTGACTGTCTTGAAACTCACTCACTGTGTAGACCAGGTTGGCCTCAAACTCACAGAGATTTGCCAGTCACTACCTTCTTAGTGTTGGTATTAAAGGTGTATATCACCAAGCTCGGCAACCACTTTTTTCTTATTAAGGTGTTCAGAACATTTTAATAAAAGATTTAAACAATGACTGACATTGAAATAAAATTTTAATTTTTGATATTTAAAAATATTTGGAAAAATTTAAATTTACTATTGGTTGTTATGGTGAATAACCTGGGTTGTTAAAATAGCTAGTTTTTTTTTTTTGTCTTATTTAATGAACTTTTGTCTCTGTTGTTACTTAGTTTTAGGACAGTGTCGGGACAATATGGAGCCGAAAAAGTTGCCAATCACAGAAGAGGAACAGATTTACCCTTGGGACACTTGTGCGGCAGTTCATGATGTGAGGCTTTCATTATTACAACGCTATTTTAAAGATGTAAGTATTCTTATTATCAAACAGTTTCAGCCTTCCTTCTCCTCGTCCTCCTCTTCCTCACTTTTCAAAGAGAAGTTATGGTTATTTTAAAATGTATTATGTTTGTATCTATTTTATTGATATCTTTATTGTTGTGTGTGAAGGCATGCATGATGTATGTGGTTTTGTGTGTATAGGAGGGACATGCAGACCATCATTTGTAGAGGTCAGAAAACAACTTTGGAGTCTATTCTTTTTTGTTTGTTTGTCTTATGTCTATTAGTATCTTAGTTGTTTTTCTACTGCTTTGAAGAGGCAAGCCCCTTCAGGCAAGCTGGCTACACTTAAACACCACACACCACACATGCAACAAATGTTTTTTTCTGTTTTTATTTGGCTTTGGTATTCACGTACATGCATCTAGTTTAAACTGGTCCAAATAAAATGCACAGTATTATGACAAAAATGCATCTAATACAGTGGCAACAAATTGTACAAAGCAGAGTTCTAGAAAGATAGATGGGTCAGAAGTTATGAGTGCGTGCTGCTCTTCCAGCACTTGCGGTCAGTTCCTAGCACACATGTTGGCTGGCTTATCACTGCCTGTGACTCCAGCTCCAGGGATCCAACATCCTTTCTCTGGCCTCCATGGCTGTCTGTACATATGTGACACATACACATTCATAGATACTTACACGGACATAAAAAATAGTCCACTTAATACTGGACTTGAGCCAGTCATGGTGGTGTACACCTTTAATCCCAGCACTCAGGAGGCAGAGGCAGGTAGATCTCTGTGAATTGGAGGCCAGCCTGGTCTACAAAGAGAGTTCCAGGACAACCAGGGATGTTACACAGAAAAACCCATCTCAAATAAAATAAAAAAATTTGAAATTGTTGCATAAACAAAGATATCAGCATAATCTCACCAACAGAATTTCCTTGAAAATACTTATTTGAGGGCAGGAGAGATGGCTTAGCAGTTAAGAGCAGTTAACATGGCTTCCAAAGGAGCCATGTTCAATTGGTAGATTACAGCTGTATGCAACTCCAGTCCTAGAAGATCTGACACACTTCTGCCTTCTGCAGACACCAGGTACACAAGTGGTACACATGTCTCTCCCTCGCTTTTATGTGGGTTTTGGGGATTTGAACTGTGGCCTTCAGTGCTTGGGCTATAAATCCTTTATCTGCTCTGAGCCATCTCCCACTATTGAAAAGTTTTTTTGTTTTTTTTTTTTTAATTCAATAAAAATATAAACTTAGTGTGATTGTGAGGAAAAGAGATCTAATATAAGACGATTGATTGGGTATAATTTTCTTAGGCAAAGTATGCATTTCAAGATAAAGTGTTTGTTTTTAAATAAAACCTCTGCTGTTGTGTTCCTGTGTTAATGACTATTAGATTTTTTTTTCTTTTGATAGCATGATTTTTTGTACTTCTGTAGTCGGTATATGGTATGTTTCCTGACTGTGTGCCTTTTAAGATCAGGGCTTACAATGGATTTCTGTCCTCCTCCTCCCTAAGGGTTAGTCCCTGGTCTCTGCATTCTTGATGCTTCCTGGACCTTTTTGTTTTTGTTTGGTTTTCTTGAGATGGTTTTTCTGTTGCCATGGCTGTCCTGGACTCGCTCTGTAGAGCAGGCTGACCCTAAGCTCACAGAGAACCACCTTCTTCTGCCTCCCACAGTGCTGGGATTACAGGCGTGCGCCCTGTGCCCGGATACCTGGACTTCTTATTGAATGACTCTAACATAGAGGACAGGAGTTTTGGCTAGAACAGACTCCATGGGCAGAAGAATAACTTAGTTAGCATTGATATGGATTGTAGAGTTAAGCTGCATGTTTTACACAGAGAAATTCACACACAGAATTTAAGTTCTGTAAAATAGCACATATGTTCAACTATAGAAACACGGAAAATATGACACAGAGGAAGGAGGGAACCTGAGCCTTGGAGTTAGATTTGGACTTGGCTTCTGTCACTTACAACTTAAACTTTAATAGTGTTTTCATTCTTGTCTTATGAAAAGAGACAGCACTGTTACTGTATGGGGTTTTCACAAATCCAGACTTCATGGAAACTCAGTTGTAAGCACTTAGCACAGCGACGGTGGGCATGTAGTTGAAATCTCATTGACAGTTTTCCTGTCCTTTTGACTAGCAGACTCAAACAAGACTTCTGTTATATAGGCGAGTGACTGCTATCTTCAGTTTTAAAGCTAACTACTCACCAGGGGGTGGTAGCATACCTGTAATTTTAGCACTTCAAAGATGGAGTTATTAGGGTCAAGAGTTTAAAGTCATCCTGGACTACGTAGTCAAGAACAGCCTGGGCTATGTTAGAGCCTGTCTCAAAAGTACTTAATAAACAAAACAATTGGTTATTGTAACTAAAAGTTAAGATTATTCACATTTTTATAGTACTGTGCTGAAGAGAACAGCATGTTTATTAACTGACTACTCACTGACTCGGAAATGATCTAGCCCTCAAATCTGTTTTTCTGTTAAAGATCTTCAAAACAAAGCAGAGATGAGTAGGCCTCCTGTTGTTTTTTTCTGATTTGTAATACTAGAACCCTGCTTTCCTGCTGTGAGTGTTGGGTTTATGCTGCTGCACATCTTTATGTGGGGAGGCATTTTGTACTTCCTTGTCGTGTGTGTGTGTGTGTGTGTGTGTGTGTGTGTGTGTTATACATATCATCACTTGTGAGGAGGTCAAACTTGGGGGAGTCAGTTGTCTCCTTTCCACTGTAGGTTCTGGGTTAAAACCCCATTCCTCACACTTGTATGGCAAATGCTTTTATCTTCTGAGCCATCTTACCAGCCCCTGTGCAGTGTTTTCAACTTTTGTGTTCTCATGAAGAATTTTGATTTGCTGTTGGAACATTGGATTTAAAGAACATTTGGGTCACCTTAAATTATGATATGTTAGTTTCTTTCCAACGCTGAGAAAAAAATGTAAAGATTTACACTATCTTTTAAGCACATAGAAATATTTTTTTTGTGTATTGGTGTTTTGTGTGCATAAATGTTGGTGTGAAGGTGTCAAATCCCCTGGAGCTGGAGTTACAGACTGTTGTGTGCTGCCACGTGGGTGCTGGGAATTGAACCCTAGTCCTTTCGAAGAGCAGCCAGTGTTGTTACTGCTGAGCCATCTCTCCAGCCCTGCAGAAACATTTTAATGAGAGGTTTCGAATTCTTGGGTGCTTGCCACTCATATGTTGTCCCTTGTGCCTCGTGTGACTCTGCCTGTCTTATTGCTACAGATTTTTCGGAATAAATTCAGACTTAGTCTCAAATGCTGTTTGGCAGATCAAATGCTGAAAATGAGAGAGAGAGGAAAAGAACACGGGAGGGAACATTGATTTTTGAAGTCTTAAGCTTATATGTAGTATGTGATAGGAGTTGAGAACTGATACTGTGTTGTGCACATAAATAGGGGTTGATAACAGATGATTTAATTTTTTTTAACAGTAAGTGCTTGCAGAATTTTAAACCAAGAGGCAGAGAAGATGACAGAGTTTTGACATAGTGATTTTATGTTACTCGAGGGACACTGAACTAGAAATTTTTAGTTTTTGGCTTGGGAAAAAATGTCTTATAGCCCTATCTGTCTGTCTGTCTACTTACATTCCTATCAATCTATCTGTCTATCTAACTATCTATCTCTTTGTCTATCTATTGGCCGTCCGTCCATCCATCCATCCATCCATCCATCCATCCATCCATCCATCCATCCTTCCCTCTCTCCCTCCCTCTCTTAGGCGAGGCACCTAGGATTATAGGGTGAACGAAATAACAATTCCATAGCAGGCACAATTTCAATGGCAAGATAGTAGTGCCCCCTTGAGGGGGGTAAACATCAAAGGTGCAAGTAAACAAAGGAAGTGTAAGAGAAGCAGGGAAGGAAACTTACAGGAGATTAGCATTATGGAAGCCAGAGGGAGATCTGCATTACGAAATGAAACTGTTGATGTCAGAAATGGAGGGGTTAGTGCCATACAGAACATATAAACTGATCTGCAACAGAGTAGCTCACACTGAACCATAATTTTTTTGTATATTGTGCGTGTGTGTACGCGTATGTGTGCATGTCTGGGGTGATGTTGGGGGTCTTCCTCATCACTCTCTGTTCTGAGGTGGAGATTCTCATTGAACCCGGAGCTCTTGTATTCATTTGAGCTCGAGGGCCATCTCTGCCTGTATCTCTCTTCCCAGTGTAGGGGTATAGACGTGTACTGCCGTTCCTGGCTTTCACATGGTACTGAGTGAACTCAAGTCTTTAAGTCTTCTGGAAGGTGCTTTATGGACTAGCCACCCTCCCAGACCCTGAACCATAATATGAAGAGCTTATGTTACGGGCTAGGAAAGGGATTGTCTATGATAGTGATCTCTTCTATTGTAAGCACAGACATTTGGAAACTATAAAGACTTTGCTTTATGGCTCTCTAGTCATATGTTAATTTACAACATAAAGCTACAAAACTGTATTAGGATATACATGAAAGCATGACAGGCTTGATTGAATGTATCTCAAGATGTTCATAATTACTTTTTATTCTAGAAATTCTTTAAAATGAATTATCTCTTGTCTTTTCTTTCTCTTTGAAGAGTTCTTGCCTTTTGGCAGTATCAATTGGCTGGGAAGGAGGTGTTTATGTGCAAACTTGTGGCCACACATTGCACATAGATTGTCATAAATCCTATATGGAATCATTACGGGTAAGTTGATTAGAAAAAAAATTAAAGGTGTCTGTTAGCTTCCCAGGTTTTTGTTTGTTTGTTTGTTTGTTTTTTGTTTTACACCATACATTTTATGCTTTAGCAGCTCTCTCCCATGACTCCCCCTTAGTGTTGGCTGCTGTTGCTCTGAAGTGCTAAGCTCCGCTGCCTATGGATTATCTTGTCATGTGATCACGTTGTTGTTTTTCATGTTTTTCACTGTCTTCAGCACTCTTAACCTTTGCACTTTTCCGTGTTCATTAGCTCTTTCCTAACCCTACTCTCTTGTGCTGAGCCTAGTCTGTTTTTATTCCCAGGCATTAGTCAGCCTCTTTTGATGTTAGATGTAGAAGTGGACCAGAAGACGGTAGAAAATCATGAAACTAAGTGAACAATTATCCAAACTTACGATTTCCTGTATCATTGATTGAGATCATGTTTCATGGCCTATAAATACATGTAGTAATTTAGGTCCCTGCTTTCATCATGTCTTTCCTGTTTGCCTCAGCAGCTATTCTAAGTCTTTGCCATCCCACATCCAGACTCTTTGCCTAAAGTCTAAGAACTTCACTCATCAGCTCTTATGTCACCAAGAAATCAGTGTGTTCTATCACACACTCCCTCACCTCCTTACACTTAAAATACAGTTCCCCGGTACGTGGCTCTGTCCTGGCCTGTCCCTTCTTTTCTACTTCTTGGATTGGAAGTTGTTTCTGCCTCTGTTGAGGAATAACCTCCCTGTCTGTGCTCGAGGAGCCATTTGCCTCCAGCACTGCAGAAGCCAGGCTTGTTTGGGAGGTAACATCTCCCTTCTCAGTACTTAAACGTGTAGGTCTGCCACCTTCAAAACCTTCCCTTGACCTTGCAGATAGCTAAAGTCTTTTTTAGTCTTTCAGTTCAACTACTTAAAAATATTTCTACTGTAAAAGTGAATTTTCTTTTTATAGATTCATAATGCAGAAGCATTTCTCTCCTTATTCCTCATCACTCATGTTCAGTCACGAGCCAGGATTCTACTGGTGGTTCTTGACTATCACTTGGCAATATTCTGCCTTCATTATTCCCACTGGTATTAAAAGGAAAAAAAGGAAAAAGTAAGCATTCATCTCTCTGGAGCTGCATACACAATGTATGCCTTCTTTTGACTTGACTTATGTGATTGCTTTCAGTACTGATTTTCTTACTCTATTTTATCTTCCTAAAATGTAAATCTGATGATGTGTCAAAAGTTTATCAATACTTTCTTGGAGTTTCCTCTTGATAGGATGAAGTTTACTTTCTCTCTGAATGCCACTCGTGCACTCCATGATCTGAGTGTGCCTGCTGTCTCTGCTATGCTTTTATCAATTCAGGATTGATAAATTAATCATTCTTAAGCACATTATGCATTTCAACAACTATTCAGATTCTAGAGTTTTGAAGGCTCTGTGATGAATTTTAGGGATGTGACAATAAATAAAAGAGATCCTTACTTCAAGAATTTATGGTGCTTGTACTTTTCCCATTGTGTGCTGATAAACCTGACAAACGCAATAGAAGGAAGAAAAGAAGTAAAGGAAGGAATTTTTTGGCTCACAGTTTGAGAGCGTAGTCTAGCACATCAGGGAAGCATGTGGCAGGATCATAAGGCATTGGCACATTGACTCACAGTCAGGAACAGAGAGAGAGATGAATGCTTGCTTTTTCCTTTTTTCCCCTTCCAGTCCAGAACTCTAGCATGTGAAATGGCACTGCTCACATTTAAAGTGTGGCTCTCCATGTTAGTTGAATTAATCTAGAAACTCCCTCAGATGCATGCCTGGAGTGTTGTCCAAAGGTTATTTTAGATCTGTGAGGTTGGCAGTCAACCTAACCATCACATTGTGTGTTTGGTGGACAAAGTGCTGTTTTCAGGTTTCCACAGGGTCATAGTGACAATCTGTAATGTGTCCAAACATTTGAATTGTTATATCTCTATCTATCTGTCTGTCTGTCTGTCTATATCTATCTATCTATCTATCTATCTATCTATCTATCTATCTATCTATCTATCTATCTATCTATCTAATCTACCTACCTACCTACCTACCTACCTACCTACCTACCTACCTACCTACCTACCTACGTACCTACCTAAAGAACTAGTTAGAAACAAGACTGTAAAGGGCTTTGTGGTCCATTTAAACAATTGAGACTTTATAGAGCTTCCTCAGAGAAGGATATTAAAGGTTTGCATGTAGAGAAAAATACTGTGGCATTGCTTAAGAACGAGGATAGTGTTTTGCCTATGATTGTGGCATAATGCTATATTATAAGAAGTGCTTTGGTAGCCTTTGACAACTAAACCAAAGTTTTATCTCTTTGTGACATTTTAGAGATGTCTTTCTTTATATGGTATGTTAGTTTTCCATAAAGTATTGTTAGGTAATTTATGTTTACTGCAAAAGTTTGAGTCAGATATCTGTATGTTTATTTTATTTTTCAGAACGACCAGGTTCTTCAGGGTTTCTCAGTGGACAAAGGAGAATTCACATGTCCCCTTTGTAGACAGTTTGCTAACAGTGTTCTTCCATGTTATCCTGGAAGCAATGTGGAAAATAACCTTTGGCAGCGTCCTTGTAACAAAAGCACACAAGATCTCATAAAGGAAGTGGAGGAGCTTCAGGGACGGCCGGGAGCTTTCCCAGTAAGCATCAGTGTAAGGCAGAAATATCCTGGTTAACTTATTAACTTAAGTTTCCTCTTCAGTCCCCTCCCTTCTTCCTTCCTCCCTTTCTCTCATTAGTGCCATCTCTTCCCTGCTCCCTGTACTCTTCTTTTTTCCCTGAATTACCCGGGCCTTTATACATTTAGTAGAAATTGATTTTAGATGTTTTTGTCTTCTGTTTGTGGTTATTGAAAAATGAATGAAAATAATGGAAGAAATTAGCAGATGCTGTATTTTTCTTTATCAAAATCATTATAATTTTAATGAATTAAGAGTATCTTCCAGATCATGAACTTAAGGTCTGTCCTAGTTGGGGTTGTCATTGCTGTGATGAAATACCATGACCAAAGCAAGTTGGGGAGAAAAGGGATTATTTGGTTTTCACTTCCACATCACTGTTCATCATCAAAGGAAGTCAGGACAGGCTCAAACCAGGCAGGAACCTGGAGGCAGGAGTTGATGCTGAGGCCACAGAGGGGTGCTGCTTACTGACTTTCTCCACATGGCTTGTTCAACCTGCTTTCTTATAGGACCCAGGATCACTAGGTCAGGGATGGCATCACTTACCATGGTCTAGGCCCTCCCCATCAATCTCTAATTAAGAAAATACCCTACAGGCTTGCCTATAGCGTGATCTTATGGAGGCTTTTTCTCAATTGAAGCTATCTCCTCTCCGATGTCTCACTTGTGTCAAGCTGACATAAAGCTAGCCAGCACAGCTTAAATATGATTAGGGTTTTTAAAGATGTTGGAATATCTTAAAATATATTAAAAATAAAGCAAAATAAAAAGCATATATATATATGTTATTTTGCTTATTTAGCAATGGGTACATTCTGAAAATGCCAACAGCAGATTTTGCCATTGTTTGAACATCAGAATGTATTTATACAAACCAAATGGTTTTGCTGTCTCTAGAAAGTATAATTTTCAGGAACCACCATAGTATATTCTGTACCACTGCATGGTACGTGACTTTATCTCTGTCTCTATGTACAAATATAATGTAGTGTATAATTGTTGGGTACAATGTAATCATTTGAAAATATATTCGTTAGTTGTATTAAGATTAGGTTTGATGATCAGAGTTCAATTCCTAAGGAACCACATGGTGGAACGAGAGAACTAACTGCCCCAAGTTGTCCTCTGGCCTCCACACATGTGCCATGCTATGCACGAGCCCACCCATATGTATGCATGTGTACACACACCAAATGAGTGTAATAAAGATTAAGAATGTGTTTATATACATTGTTATTTACTCTGTGTGTATGTTAGAAAATACTGTGTGACCATTCACTGCAAGTTAGTCTACTATAATATGAATTTGGCTTAAATGATTCTGTTTTTTGAATCCTCACTAATAGAATTTATGTGGTTTAAGTTTTGAAAATGTTTTACCTAGATAGTAAATTTCTGTAACATGGTCTCTAAAGGTGACAGCTATGCCTATGATGAAAACCATACCCATGTCCTAATCTTAGGAATGTTGGGAATTGAATTGAAGGCCTCCTACATGCTAGGCAAGTGCTCCCAGTCCTTAAACTAAAGACGTTTAGCTTTTGAAACAAAAATGTGTACATTAAACCATTCGGATTCATCTCAGTGGCATTTACTTTCTCAAATGAAGACTAACTTGACAATCTGTGTGTGTGTGTGTAAATTGTATTTGTTTAATATTTGCCTGAAAGTAAGGGATATTGATAGTATTTCTTTAAAAACTGAACTTAAATAAAGTCAGGTGTTTTTGGAACCATGGAAGTAGTTATAAAATATTATTTAGCATTTTGTGCTCGTTAGAATAGAGTTTGTGTGGCTAAATCATAATAATAATAATTCATAATTGGGCTTATCATAATTGGGTACTATCAGTTGCCCTCCAGAATTTGAATAGACATCATTTTTGAGTGAATTTCTTTGTACACTAAGTAATTGTGCAGTTGTTCATGTTACATCTGTTTTGACTTACTGGTAATTTTCTAGTTTGTTTATATGATAAATATTTCAGTTTTAAGCTTTTATTAAAGAAAATTAATATAAACTTTATATGTATGTTCACTTTTTTATAGTCAGAAACCAACTTAAGTAAAGAAATGGAATCTATAATGAAAGATATAAAAAATACCACTCAGAAGAAATACAGAGACTATAGCAAGACCCCAGGCTCACCAGACAATGATTTTCTCTTTATGTACTCTGTTGCTAGGTAGGTATGAGTAATATATATTAGTATTTCTTTAGTGTTAGTTTTTTTATTGTTTAGTGAATCTTTGTTTTATCTGTTAACTTGTGTATTTGTTTAAAGAACGGATATGTATCTTTAATAATGGTTAAAAGTGTAGCTAGTTTTATAACCTCCCAGGAGCTTATTTCCTGAAGTTATTTTTAAATTATTTGATGCACAATTTGGCTCCTATTGAACATTGTAGAACAAAAGGGGGAAAGTATAGTATTAATGCTTGGACCAGATAAGTCCCTTAACATATAGCATCTTATGCATGATGAGGTCCTGTCAAGTGCCGATACCAAGAACTAAAACTAATGTTGCGTGCCTTCATTGCAGAAAGTAAAACAGCAAGAGTAGAACTTGTTTCTTTGTTTGCATGAACCAAGTAAGGGCTATCCTAGGGTTTTAGGACATGACAGGTGGTTTAGAAACCAGGAAAAGAAGAGAAAGCAAGAAGTCAGGTGCTCTGAGCCTCTGCTGTTGACTGGAGACTCAAGGAAGCAGCACTTGTTTTTCATCTTTTCAATTAGGGAACGTTAGTCTGATTTTTGAGTAGCTAGATTGTCCTCAGTGAACACGTCTAAGCAGGAATTTTGGAGAATGTGTAAAACTGGAGAGCCATAAAAGAAGTACACAGGAAGGAAGCAGGCGTATACAGCTCGGTACTTTCAAACACATTCTGCCAGATAAGATACTGAAGAGCCTTGGATGTCTTTGCAAGTATACTCTTTATTTTGTTCAGGTAGTATTGTAGTTGGTAAGACTTAGAGAGATGATGCAACTTGAAGTCATGGAACAACTTACTGGCAGTAAAGGGGTGGATTTCAGATCAATTGAGTCAAGATTCAGTGGCTTTGTTCTTTCAGTTAGTTATCTTTCTTGCTGTCTTGTGTTTAACTTTCATAGGTTGTTATGTTTTCTAATCTCTTTGCCCCACTCCCCTAGCAGTGTAACAAAACAGTAAGTGAAAGAATATATGTAACCTTTAAAACCCAGGAAAAATGGATCTGACTTAGAAGAATTGCAGCAAGCAAGTTAGAGCTCAAGATAAGGAACTTCATACTTCAGTCTGAACATAAATGCTCAACCCAGGTTGATTTAGAAGGATTTGCTACGTTAGGAATGACTCCCTGGTCTATGTGTTCTAGGCTGCTGTTTATCCACAATGCTTTTTTTTTTTTTCCTGGTGCTGGTATATGATATATAACAATTATTTTATTTCTGGGGAGTTACTTATTATTGCATACTTATAACTAATATACTTATAAAAAGAAATTTAATAAAATTTAACTTTACAAAGGATCTAGGATCATGCATAGCTTCTGTGTAATATGTAATTAAAACTATAGAAATTTAATTGAATACAGTTCAGCTCTTATATTGTCACACACTTATACACTCTTATCTCACTTGTGTGGATATGCCTTCAATTTTACTAGAGTTGGCATTACTGGAAGATCCTGAGATTCTAATTGAATGGGAATGAACAATATGAAATTTTTCTGTAATATGATAAATCAAACTATTTGAAGTATAATTTGCCTGAAATTTAGGCCCTTGTTTTTTTGCCTTAAAACTTATTAATAACTTATGAAAAAGGGCTGTAATAACAATGAGATGAACTCTGTGTTTCTCTATTTTATGGAGAAGCAAGGACAGGTAGCAGATGGTAAAGGTATAGGCAGAGAAACAGGAAAGTCATACTACCATCCCAGTCCTCCTGAGCCCTGGTAATAAACTAAAGCAAAGAGACAGTGATTGTTTGGTTAGAATCATTCAGAACAATGCAGAGTCTCACTGTGAGTTTGCAGTGCCCTCTCGTAAGTTACAGCAAAGAAAACAAACAAAGGCAGAGTGACTCAGAATTAAAATTGGAATTGAAGGGCAAAAGGTTTTATCATTTTTAGTAGAACATCAGGTCATGATTTGATACTAGGTCTTTATCTTACTCTAACCGGCAGCTTATTTCATTTTATTTAATACTTAAATAAAATATTTAAATTCTGCTAAATATGTTAGTGTCTATCTTCAGGAAAAAATATTTCTATAACTGTTAACTATTTATAAAAAAAGTTGCAATTCAAAGTTTATTCAAGTAAGTATTTATGAAATAAGTTGTAATTCAATTTTTGAGTTAACTTTGATTCCTAGAACTTGAAAATATATTTATATTTGACATTTTAATAAGACACAATTCTAGTTTTTGAGCTTAATTTCTCCCAGCTGTTTAAGTAATTTTGTTAGTTCTCTAGAGAACATAAAAGTTTTGATATTTGGGAAGAGAATATTCCTTGTTATGGCTGGAGAATTCAATATTTTGAAGGAAAGGGTACATGTCTTTGTTTTTAATAGGATATACGTGACTACCCTTTGAAAGATTTTTTTTTTCCTGAAGGCAATAGAAGGAAAGTTGTTGGAATGTGTTTTTGAAAATTAATTCTCAAATTAACCATACCTACTTTATTCAAGTTTCAACCTGTTTCTGAAATTTTTGTTCTGTCACAAATATTAGTCATAAAAATGGATTATGAGAAGATTATACTGTGTAAGGTTTCCCTCAATATTAACTCACTATTACTAAAACTAAGAAGAAATAATTTTCAGTAATTGATCCCCTTCCCCACGAACTTTTGTATCTAAGTCACGAACAGTATAGAGGTATTGGTCTATTGCTCCTGGTGTGTAATTGTGCGAAACATGGAAAGGGTGGAAAAAGGAGCATTCGCGATGCAGATGGGCAGACATCTCAGTCATGGATGGATTGGCATTCAGTAGAGTGACTGTGTGTCTTCATGTACCCTGAGTCTAGATCTTTACAAATAATTACGTTGAAAATAAGAGGAATACTTTCTACAGTGCTGATAATACGTCTTTTGCAAGTAGAATCTGACTGTACTGCACACGCTGATTTCAAAGTTCTAGGCTTAGGCAGTCCCTCCATCTCAAATTCTTAAGTAGCCAGGGCTGCAGGCAGAAGTCACCATTCCCACTGTCAAACTGAACCCTTTGAATTTTTGCTTTTGTCTTATAAATATTTTTTTGAGGTAATTCTCCCTTGAAAACAATCCCTTCTTTTTCTTTTGTTGCTGAATTTAAGGATTGTAAGGATCAGCAAAAGGAGATCAACTACAAATCAAGAAATAGAAGTTGTTAATTTTGTGTGTGTGTGTGTGTGTGTATGTACATGTCTCTGTGTGTGTGTTGTGTGTGTGTATGTACATGTCTGTGTGTGTGTGTGTGTGTTGTGTGTGTGTGTGTGTGTAGCCTTCAAGTTGATGTGGAGTTTCTTCTTTAGTCATTTGACGTGGAATTGTCAATTTAGGCTCCTGGCTTAGCAGCTTCCTCTGGGAATCTTTTTCCAGTTTCTAGATGCAGGGCTTTCTGATGGTATGCTAAATCTGTCTGACCTCATGTAGGCACAGGGTTCTGAACTCTGCTCCCCATGCTTAGATGACAAATTCTTTACCCACTGAGTCATCCCACCAGTCTTACCATGGCTTTTTTTTTTTCCAGTTTTTTAAAGCATGTTGGTAAGTATCATTGGTGAGACATGGTCACTTAAGAAACATCTATAAAACAGAATAAAATAGCTTCTTAAAAAATGTTATATAGGTAAAATATTATAACGTTTTGAAGCAAAAGGGAATATAAGCAAATTAAAACAAAGTATTTGAGATACCTATTTCCTGTCTCAGAAAGGCTTCCTAGAATAATTGTGTCTTCAGTGTAGGCTCTCAACCTCGCAGAGAAACTGAGTAACTTGCTCAGGCAATAAAGTGGCAGGTTCAAGGCCTCAGATTTGTCTTTTCTAAAGCCTCTGCTGTCTCTATTGTCCCAGTTTGGTTTGATTTGTGTGTGTGTGTGTGTGTATGTCTTCGGATTTGTTTTTTCAGATTATTGTTATAGAAATAATGGTAAGAAGGAGAGTGTAACAGGAGCACAAATTTTGGTCATGGATGAAGGAGCTTATGTGCAGTTAAAGGACTTTTTAAAGCTTAGTGTAGCTAAGTAGCCCAGTGATAGCTTTCAGCAGTCTTGTCATTCTTTGAAATGTAGGTGTTCTCTGCTGCCACAATCACCTGGATATACTAGTGGTAGAAATACAAAAGATAGAAGCATAGAACATTCATTCCCAAAGTATATATATGTATTATATAATAAATTATATAAACATATATACACTAAATATATTGTATTATCCATTTAGGAAAAAAAAACAGATTGCTGTGACACATGGCCACCTGGATGGTTTACACTAGGGAATCTTAAAGGGCCAGTTTGGTTTAATGAAGCAAGGGAATGTTGATGGTTAGGCACTCTGACATTGATTTTTTTTTTTTTAATTCTAGATATTACACAATAATTTTTTGTATAGATAGTTTTACAAAATAAAATAGAAATATTGCATAGGAAATCTTCCAGCCATATTTTAAAATAATTCAGACTTAATAGGGTTATTTCCTTTAGAATAAAATTCATAATAACTCATTTGTCATCCTTTAAAGTGTATTTGGTGATCCAGTAAACAGAACTGTTGTTAGTGAACACTTTTGTAAATACAGTCAGATGAAAGTTGACATTCTGGTTCTGGCATTCATTTGTAAGATTTGTTTGTTTGTTTGGTTGGTACTTTAGAAGTGCTATCTAGGAAATCATAGTTTTTATAAGAGAATATAGCCATTAATTTTTTTCTACAGATTAGGCAACAGAAGATTTGTGAAAACAAAATGTATTGATCTCATTTATATTCCCTTGATGAAGGAACACATGCTGGTCTCCGCGCTCGCTTTCTGTCCACTAATATGAAATCCTTGTCCCTGCTTCCTTGCTGGTAGGTTTTTAGAAGTTCAGTGAGCATTGCAAATCGCCTGAAGGGTGGAAAATTCCCTTGTCACACAGATGCCCTTATCAGCAGCAACCAGATGGAGCTCTGAGCAGGAACATTATCAATGTTAAATTGCATCTTCCCCACCCTGAGAAGAAGATTAAACTTCCTTTAGAAATGGGTGGCAAACGTGCAGACTCAGGAATATTAATATTTTAAAGTTTGTATGTTGTATGTGAAATCATTTCAAAATACAGCCAAAACAAGTTTCAGTGTTCTGTTTTTAAATAGAATAGGATTAGTTTTTCTCGAATTTGCAGCAGTGTAGGCTGGAAGTCTCATCTCTCTTTATGGCAGGGTAGAAGGTGGGTGGGTGTCTCATTAGCATACTTTGGATACAAACTAGTTAATTTTGTTTCTTGAAAATAAGGACTATTGAGATACAGCAAGTTGAAGTGTAACTCAAATTTTATTTTTTATTTTGGTAAGATCGTTTTATTGGTATTCCTTTTGAGTAAATGTTTTGGTTCTGCTTAGGTCTGCTTTTTGAAATACCAGTTTACTAGTAGATGCTATTTGGTAAGCTAATAAATGCTAAATACCTTGTCATTTCAGATGTTTGTGAACAATACTGATCCTTACCACTATTAATAGTTACACAATACATTTTAACAAAACCGAAATTGTAGAAGTCCGTAAAAGACACTTTGATTAACTATTATGTGTTGATCGTAACACTTGAGTATTGGTGGTGGTTTTGTTTCATGATATTGATTTCCAGATACCATCTAATTTACAATCAATGAGAACCATTTCTTTGTCAGAAAAATCACTATACCTTGTATTTTTAATGACAGTGTTTTTATCTACCTGGTGGCTGGCAGTTGAAATACATATTTTTCATCAAATTTATATATAGGTTTATAAACTATGTTGCAGGGATTTTTTTGTTTTGTTTTGTTTTTAAGGCTCAGTTTTTTTTAGTATTTGCAAATGGCTGAGACTTCAACAGTTACATAATTGTACGTGTTATTTTTTTCGGTATAAATTTGAAGAGCTAAGTAAAGATGGATAAATTGTTGTTTTTTCATGTCTAAATATAATAAAAAAAACATTACTGCATAAGCTGCTTTTGCAAGTAATTTCATTATTCAGCTTGATTGAGGGCTGTCAATAAAAAGAGTCTCCCTACCCTGTGACTGAGATGGTTTTAATGCTTTGCCTACAGAACCAATTTGGAACTGGAATTGATTCACAGAGGAGGCAATCTGTGCTCGGGAGGTGCAAGCACAGCTGGGAAAAGGTCTTGTTTGAGTAAGTACTGCACAGTGTGACATTGCAGAAGATTTCTGTCTCGTTGACTTTGAAAGCCCATACAGGAAAGCGGTCAGTCGGTGTTTTTGTTGTTATTTTTTTGTTGTTTGTTTGTTTTGTTTTCTTCAAAATCTGTTCATAGAAGTTCAGTTTTCAAACTAATAAGTGTTTGAAACACTAGTATCTTTAGAAAAACGATGTGGACATTTAAGCTTTCTGTGTTGTGATTAGACAGCGATATAAACATCTAACTGATTAGATTTAATATCTAAACATCTAACTGATTAGCTCAAATTTTTAAAATGTATTCTCAGGGATAAAACAATTCAAAAATTTGAAAGAAATTTTACATTGAGTTGATTAAAATATAGCTTTATAAAGATAATTATGTTTATAGATTCCTATTGTTGCTGTTAATTAATGAAGCTATTGGGCTATATTTTGCTATAGATTAGCTAACATATTAAAATATACCTGTTTTCTTTTATGTATATGCTTTATATTTTAGACATAATTATTCAACACCATTTGTAAAGATATCCCTAAGAGAAGTATAATTTGCAGCTTAGACTGGATTTTACATGAGCATCGCTTCCAGGATTATTTACTCATTGTTTAGAGAACTGATATGAATACTAGGAATAATATTATTTGATGTCACAATATAGTGCATTATTAGCCCCAAATTGCTAGAGTTGAAGTGTTACATAAGGTAATAGCATAGGAAACAAAACTTGTTTAAAATACACAGTGTATTGAAAATGAATATATTTCTTAAATACTAAAAATAATATCCAATAACAATACATATCAGCTTTTAAACATAATATATCTGTTTACTATTTTGAAGAGATATCTGTTAGGATTGATTTAAAAGCAGAATACCTTAAAATTTATACCATAAAGATACAAATGTGAAATTTTGATAAAATTATTTAAAAAAAAATAATGTTTATAATAGACTTGAGTATTTTACTTTGGGCTATCACTTAATGTCTAGAATTTAAGATTTGGGAAGGCAGATGCTGAGACTTATGGGCAACCTTTGGGCGGAGTGCAGGGAACCTTATGAAAGAAGTGGGAAATAGTAAGACCTGGAGAGGACAGGAACTCCCCAAGGAGAGCAACAGAACCAAAAAAATCTGAGCACAGGGGTCTTTCCTGAGACTGATACTCCAAGGACTATGCATGGACATAACCTAAGACTCCTGCACAGATGTAGCCCATGGCAGTTCAGTATCCAAGTGGGTTCCATTGTGATAGAAACAGGGACTGTCTCTGACATGAACTGATTGGCCTGCTCTTTAATTACCTCCCCCTGATGGGGGAACAGCTTTACCAGGCCACAGAAGAAGACAATGCAGACACTCCTGATGAGATCTAATTGACTAGGATCAGAAGGAAGGAAAAGAAGACCTCCCCTATCGGTAGACTTGGGGAGGGGCATGCATGTAGAGGGTAGAGGAAGGGAGGGATTGGGATGAGAGGAGGGAGGGAACATCATGTGAGAGACAATTACCTCTCGGCAGGAAATAAACACTCCTCTGTACTTAGATCTGAGGCTTTCTGCTTACTACTGTAGTTGAGAAGTCACTGTTTGTATCTCAAGGGGAGACTGATTTCATAGAGATTAAATTCTAGACACTATGAGTCTAGCTCAGTGGTAGAGCTCTTGCCTGATATGTTCAAGACCCAGCTCCACACACAACAATAACAAGAATGGAACACAAAACTAGCCTAAACTTTAGTGTGTGTGTGTACGTGTGTATACATATACACACACCTCTTATTGTGACACTTTCATTTGAGAAGTTCTAACCTAATTTAGATATAACTCATGATCTGTACTAAATCATGTACATACTTCCTTCTGTGTATGCTGACTTCAACAAGCAGCTTAAAATGTATACACAACTTAAAATAGTTGCTCAAAGAATGAAGGGGAGAGGTGGAGGGATGGGAAAGGTGAGTGGGATGGGGGTTGGGAGAGATTCACTAAAGAAGAATTTTACTTTTTTTTCTGTACTGGGAAGGACATATTGCCCACAATACCTAGGTAGGGGGTTGAAGGTAGCAAATTTCAATTAGACATGATTATAATGCTGAAAAGTACAAATGGGCACACTGCAGCATGAGATGAAGGTAAAACAGGTTTGTAGCAGATGAGGAAAGCAGACTACTTCTGGGTGAAGGTTGAGCAGGACAGTCTAGATGCTATTAGAAGTCTTTTGGAGTTCTGTTTAGAGCCCTGTAGAAGGGAAAGAAGTAGTTGCAGCTTGTGATGGCTGGTCTTTGCTGGTTGGTTTTGTCAGCTTGACACAAATCTAGATATATCTGGGAAGTGGGATCTTCATAAGTTTGGGCAGTAGGCAATTCTGTAGGGCATCTTCTTGATTAATGTTTGATCTCGGGGGGCCCAGCTTATTGGGGCAGTGCCACTCCTGGCCCTGGATGGTATATGAAAGCAGCGTGAGCAAGCCATGGACAGTAAGCCAGTAAGCAGTGTTCTTCCATGCCTTCGGCTTCAGTTCCTGCTCTCAGGCTCCTGCCTTGACTTTCTCACTAATGGAGTGTTACCTGAGAGCTGTGAGATGAAATAAACCCTTTCCTCCACAAGGTGCTTTTGTCACAACAATAAAAACCTAATCAAGACACTGGGTAAACTTGATTATTACAATGGCTGATCAAAACAAAATGATTGCATTTCTTTATTAAAACTAACTAGAAATTTTGAGAACATTTTGATCTGGAAGAATCGTTTTCTCAATGTTTTTCCCTCCAATTTATTCAGATCAGCTGTTCCACGTATTAGCCTTGCACATGCGGCTTTATACTATTGACTCTGAGTATAACCCGTGGAAAAAACTCACCCAGTTGGTGGAAGACGTGAGTTCACAGTAAGTACTGTTGAGGCATTAAAACCAGTTAAAATCCTTTGTAGAAAAATAGTTGTTAAATTTTTAAAACTGCTATTAAATTTCTGATTAGTTGGCTTTGTTGGTCTTGTGGAGTTTCTATCCCCTTTGGGCCCTTCTATCTTTCCCCCGACTCTCCCTGTGCTCGGTCCAGTATTTGGCTGTAAGTCTCAGCATCTGTTTCAATCTGTTGGTGGGTGGATCCTCTCTGGAGACAGCTGTGCTAGGCTCCTATTTGCAAGCATAGCAGAGTATTGTTAATAGTGTCAGGGGTTGGGTCTCTCCCATGGGTGGGTCTTAGGTTGGGCCAGACATTGATTGGACATTCCCTCTATTGTTCTTTCTGCACATCTTATAGGCAGGGTAAATTTTGGGTTGAAGATTTTGTGGGTGGGTTGGTGTTCCCTTCCCTCCACTAGGAGTCCTGTCTAGATAGAGGGTGACCTCTTCATTCTCCATGACCCCTGCTACTAGGAGTCTCAGCTAGAGTCACCCCCATATCCTTTTAGGAGCAGATCTCCAGCTTGTCACAGAGATGCCCTACCCATGGTTTCTCTTCTTTTGCAAGCTCTTTGTCTTCCCATACCCACTCTTCCCACTTCTGATCTCCACCCTAATTTTTCTCTGGGTTCCCTCTCCTACCCTGATCCTCTCTTTAACCACTGTCTATTCTATTTCCCCTTCTGAGTGGGAATTAAGCATCCTCCCTTAATTAAGTACCTCCTTGGTACTTATCTTCTTTAGGTCTGTCAATTATATGGTTATCCTGTACTATATAGATAATATCCACATATAAGTGAATAATACCATGTCATCTTTCTGGATCTGGTTTATCACACTCAGGATGATCTTTTCTAATTCCATCCATTTGCCTGCAAATTTCATGGTTTCTTTCTTTTTAATAGGTAAGTAGTATTCCATTGTGTAAATTCATCACATTTTCTTTATCTCTTCTTTGGTTGAGGAACATCTGGGATGTTTCCAGTTTATGGCTATTAGGAATAAGGCTGCTATGAACATAGTTGAGCAAGTGTCCTTTTTCTATGGTGGAGCACCTGTTGGCTATATGCCTAGGAATGGTATAGCTGGGTCTTAAGGTAGAACTACTCCCAATTTTCTGGGAAAGCACCAGATTGATTTCCAATCAATGGTTGTACAAGGTTGCACTCCCACCAGCAGTCAGGAGTGTTCTCATTTCTCCACATCCTCACCAGCAGGTGCCATCACTTGAGTTTTTGATCTTAGCCATTCTGATGGGTACATACCAGAGTCGTTTTGATTTGGATTTCCCTGATGACTAAGGAAGTTGAGCATTTCTTTAAGTGCTTCTCGGTCATTCGAGATGCCTTTGTTGAGAATTCTCTGTTTAGCTTAACATTAAAAAAAGTCATCTTACCAAAGCAATCTACAGATTCAATATATCAACACAATTCTTATTGACCTTGCAAGAACAATTCTCAGCTTCATATGGAAAAATAAAAAACACAGAGCAGCTAAATCAATCCTATACAATAAAAGAACTTCTGGAGGTATCTCAAATCCTGATTTCAAGCTGAACTACAGAGCAATAGTAATAAAAAACTGCACGGTACTGGCATAGAGAATGACAGGTTGATCAATGGAATAGAAGCAAGGACCCATAAATAAGCCCACCTACCCACCCACAGACACTTAATTTTTGACAAAGAATCCAAAACGCTACAATGGAAAAAAGAAAACAACTTCAACAAATGGTGCTGGTCCAATTGGATATCTATATGTAGAAAAATGCAAATAGATCCATATTTATCACCCTACACAAAATTCAAGTCCAAGTGGATCAATGACCTCAACATAAATCCAGAAACACTAAAGCAATTAAAAGAGAAACTGAACTCATTGGCACAGGAGATGACTTTCTGAACAGAACATCAATAATGCAGACACTAAGATCAACAATCAATAAATGGCACTTAATAAAACTGAGATGCGTCTGTAAGGCAAATGACATTAATAGGACAAAACAGCAGCCTACAGATTGGGAAAAGATCTTCACCAACCCTATATTTGACAAAGAGCTAATTTCCAAAATATATAAAGAACTCAGAAATTAAACACCAACAAACCAAATTATCCAACTAAAAAACCAACTATTTTAAAGATAACTTTCTAAATCTTGTTTTACAATACCATCAGATTGATGTATGGTTCATTTTTTTTTTTTTTTTTTTTTTTTTCTTACTCTTTAAAGACTGACTTTTCAGGCTGGAGAGATGGCTCAGTGGTTAAAGAGCACTGTCTTGTTCTTTCAGAGGTCCTGAGTTCAATTCCCAGCAACCACTTGGTGGCTCACAACCATCTATAATAATATCTGGTGCCCTCTTCTGGCATGCAGGTATACATGCAGATAAAGTACTCATATACATAATAAATAAATCTTTTTTAAAACTTGATATTTAAGAAACTAATTTTTTCTGATTTTTCTTTTGATGTTTTTTGCTATATGAAACATTTTCCAAAGTAAAAATAATAAAGTAAATTTTGATACCTCTGTCTTCTGTTTTTATTCACTTGGACTACTTGTTGTGAAGCCTCTTATCTGCTAACTACTTGTGAGAATTAGATGGTCAGTCATTTCTCATTTCTAGCCATACCTCTATAGTATGGAGGCTAGTCCTTTGTGCTGTGAGTTGAAAAGCCATCAGATTCTCAGATGTCTTTTTTACCTGATTTTTTTGTTAAAGTTTTAAAATTAGCAATTTATTAATTTTTCATTTTGGGTCAACAGGTTTTTTTTTTCCCATTCTGTTGTTATTAAGCAGTTTGCCCAGTAATTACCCAGCACTTACATGGTTTTCATTTTTACATTAAGGATTTTAATCTGTTTGGAATTTATTATAGTCTATAGTATAGGTATAACAGTGTTTTATTTTATTTTTCCATATAACTGTAAAATATTTTATCATTTACCTTTACATAGTAGCAAATTTAAATGAACTTTCTATTAAAGAAAGTAAAGAGAAAAAGTGCTTTTATTTATTGCTGTGGAAAGAAATGGTGTTCAAAGAAAACAGCCGAGAAAAAGGATGGAGACTATACTATCATCTGTGTAACAGAGGTTGAGGAGGATGAGAAAATTAATGTTTTCTTGGGAGGAATAGAAACCAAGGTAAATGAGACCTCACATATTTAGATGCTGATTTATGGCAGATAAGCTCATGGAGCATCGGGGAACATATTCTTTTGGATGTTGTCCTGTGTTTCTTGGATAGTCACAAGAAAAATAATATTGACTGCTCCCTCATACAAATTCTATTCAGATTTGGCAATTACTTTGCTAAAGCATATATATAGCAAAAGAAAATTACAGATTTTAAGATCATGCTTGCATCTAATTTCAGTGTCTCTTTAATTTTTTTTAATTTGAAATTGATTCTGAATGTTTAATTGTATTTCGTGACATTGACCTGTTTTTTAAAAATGGTTAGGCCAGTTGTTTTATAAATTGTCTTTTAATTTGTTTTTGCCCAATATTTCCCAGTGATCAGATTCAGATTATAAACTCTTTGTAGAACCACCAGTTCTTAGTATGGTATCAGGAGACATGATTGATGTGTTCTATGATATACTGTAGCAACTCTGATCGTTTGGCTGTGGGAGTAAGTGCTAGGTTTCTCCCCTTTGAAGGTAGCTCCTCAGCTCACCATGCTGGGATGATGGCTTGCTTGATCCGTGGCAAATCTTGTTTGTGGAGGTGCACCACTGAATTTGTGTGTAGTGGTGGTGTCACGTATACACAGCCTCTGCGATGCCCACTACCTCTGTCCTCATTCTCTCTGCTCTCCCTTCCATGATGATCCCTGAGCCTTAGGGAGAGAGAATGGGATACAGCTGTCGAGTTTAGAGGTGGGCATGCCACAGTCTTTCTTCTCTGTGCCTTGAGCAGGTGCTAGTGTCAGTGCTATCTACTCTGGAAAGCTTCCCTGTTGAGGGGACCAAACCTGATCCTCTCCAAGAGCTTTAACCAGTGAGCCATCACTCAGCCCTTTTTTCTTTTGAAAGGATAGTGTGAGCATACTGTGGTTAACACTGTCCTTCAACTAATGGATCTCCTGCTACTTCAGCAACTGAGTACTGTGATTACAAGGCAGGCACTACCCTGCCTGCCTGTGAGCTCTTTGTGAATTGTATTTTCAGGATCTCTGTCCATTCTTCTGTTGGGAGTCTTTTTCTTTTCTTTAATTTTCTTTTCTTTTCTTTTCTTTTCTTTTCTTTTCTTTTCTTTTCTT